CCTAATAGCCTTCTTCCCAGGAATCCTGAACTATGGGCAAGCAGCAAGACAAAATCCCTTGAACCCTACTCTCTCAACATACCTAAAAGGCAGCTCATCCATAATAATCATACGAGCCAATGTAAATCTGACTTTCCCATGCTCAAACCTCCAATTGGCTAGTGCTAATACTCTTTCATCACTTGTTGGCTGCAAGTTTAACAACATTTGAGAATCTAATTCCTTACTCTTTTTCCTACACAATTTGGTATGTTTATGGAGAGCAGAAATATCGTTGCTTCTTTTATCGGCAGAAAGCTTCTTTTTGCAAAACAAACACCTTGCTTTCCTCATTGGATCTTTCCCCGAAACCCTCTCAATGAATAGCTCATACTCGTCATAGGCATCTGACCTTGTGTTCCCCAACACTAGTGGTTCCTCAACCACTTGGTCAATAAGAAGAGGAGCAACGGCAAGGAATGGAGTCAAAGTCGGAAGAGAACCAGCAAGGACTGAAGTCGGAGGAGCAGCAACGACAAGAGTCGAAGGAGGACCAGCAGTGGCGGCAGTTTGAGGAGGACAACGAGTTGCGGAGACAATTGGAGGAGGACCCGCGGTGGCAACGGTCGGAGGAGGAGGACCCGCGCCAGCGACAACACTTCCAATAGATTCATCTCTCTTTTTCAATCTCTTCTTCGACTTCACTACAACAGGTAAAGGATCATCTGTTGCTGATTTATCTCTCTTCCTCCCACCATCTCGTTCCATGATTGACAAAGGGTGATGGTCAACAAAGACGACGATGGTCGGTGGGATGGTAGATCGGCGATTTGGCGGTGGAAGGAAAGGAAAGGAAGGTTTTTTGTCTGCGAGATGTCTCGATGGAAGAAAATGAAGGGCTGCTTTCGCTGGTTGCTGCTCGCTGGAGTGGGGAGTGGAGACTTATGGTTAGGGGTCTAAGGGGGCCAAACTTCGGCTGGGCTTGGGGCCTGCAGGTTGGGCTGGGTATATGGTTATGGGCCATATGATATTTGGCCTTGTGGGCTGGGGAGCGGTTCCACTTTGGGTCTTCCAATTTTCGGTTTCAGTTTACCCAAAACCAGAAAAACGTCCACATGATGAGCCGAGGCCCATTTTCACTATGATATTCCGGTTCATGGGTACCCGAAACTCGTCAATTTTGGTTTAAATTCTGGGTTATCCATAAAACCGACCCCGAATGTCCATCCCTACTTGAGTGGACAACGTGTTGACTTGCACAAATCAGCTATTTTATTTAGTCGCAACATGGACATAGGTCAAACCTTGGAACTAGGGGGCACAACTAGGTGTGGGAAGCATTGGTGAACAAGATCAATACATGGGTCTCCCTTCAATTATATCTAGATCAAAAAAGGAATTCTTCCACTACATGGAAGAGAAACTCATTTAAAAAACTTCAAGGGTGGAAGCAACAAACCTTGTCCAAAGCTGGTAAAGATATTTTAATGAGAACATTTGCTACTAACCTACTAGTTCATGGTATGTCCTGCTTTAAGATCTCTAAAGAAAGTTGTTGATGTTTAAATAGTCATGTTGCCAGATTTTGGTGGGGCTCGGCGGATAATGATGATCACCCAATACATTGGGTTTACTGGAAAGGCTTAGCCCACAGTAAATTTCACGGGGGTCGGGATTTAAAGACTTCTGGGCCTTTAATCATGCGTTTTTAGCCAAGCAGTGTTGGCGGATCTGGAAAAATCCAAATTCTCTCCTAGCTTCAATCTATAGAGGACGATACTTCAACCAAGCATCATTGTTAGATGCCCCTGTTGGATCAAATCCCTCATGGGGATGGCACAGCTTATTGTTTTGAAGAGATCTCCTTCTTCAAGGTTTATGATGGCAAGTTGGGGATGGACAAGACATTATAGCTTTCCAGGACAAGTGGGTAGCTTCAAAGAAACCCATTACTCCATTGGTTCGCCTCCCGAATCCTACAAATTTCCCAAGAGTCTCTTTCCTTATTAGAGAAGGTAGGAAAGAGTGGTATATCCCAAGACTCTGATATTGTTTTGATCCTAGATCGGTATCCCTTATATGTAAGGCCTCCCTCACTAGATGCCATCAAAGGGACACAAGAATTTGGCATTTTACCAAAAATGGATCTTATACAGTTAAAACCGGATACCATCTGGCATTAGAAATCTCTTTAGCCTCGAGTCGTAAGCACTTTGTCCAAATTATTGACCCTCCTATCTGGAAGAAGACGTGGGATATTCAAGTTCCTCCTAAACTGAAGTTTTTCATATGGCAATGCCCGAAAGTAATTCTACCAACAATAGTAGCACTTGAATCTAGAGGAGTTAATTGTCTGACCCGATGTCCTATTTGCTGGTGGAGTCGGGAAAGTATTGATACATGTTCTTCAAATGCCCATTAGCCACCAGATTGTGGTCACTTATGGGTCTAAATGATTTCATTGCCTCGACCCGGACTATGAATTTCAGTCTCTAGTGGCGACATGTTATGCTTTCTGAGCAGCCCCCCAAACCCATATTCTCCTATACGTATGCGCATTGTGGAGGATCTGGAAGTCTCGTAATAAGGTGGTTTTTTACCATTATCAACCACATGCCTAGTCTCTAGCTCATAAATGTTCTTTTCCAAGTTCGTGAAGTCTCTTCCTTGCTCCCGCCTGCGTCAATCCATCCTCTTCGGGCCCCGTCATCCCGCCATCCCTCCTGGATTCCTCCTCCTGATGATTTTCTGAAGATCCACTTTGATGTCGTTGTTAGTGATTTCGGTTGCTCGTCTGGCCTGGTTGTTCGTGGGACAAACAGGCATGTGGCGTTGGCAGTAGGGTCCTAGCATCTTGGCATTGCTGATCCTTTTTTTGATAATGTTGAGCTTAGCATTAATCGAAAAGGGGGGAAAACAAAGTCAAGATGGGTGCAGTAGTTCACAAGGGTTGAACCAACCACCACCCACCAAACCAAAGTCCACAAGCAAGCAGGAAAACAAAAGAAAAAGAAAACAAAAGGCAAAGGGGAGCACATCTAAGTGGACCAGATCACTCCTGATGTGCAAAAGAACAGGACAGCCAGGAGACAAACAGAAGCAGCAAAGAACAAAAGGGGCAGGCAGCCCAGCCAAACACCAAAACCACAGCTCACACCTACTGCAAATCGATCTGAGAATATGCCCAATTACCCCACCCCCTGCATCAGCTGCCTAGCAGCGCTCTGCAGCATGCCCATCTTCTGTTCCATCCACACAAAACCCTGCTTCTTAGTGACTTTCTTGTGGGCTATGGCCCAATCAATAGCAGCTCTAATCGCCTTCCTTGCCACCACCGCCGGCGTGCTCATGGAGCCCCTGAAGATTCGTTTGTTCCGCTCCAGCCAAATCTGCCACCAGACTGAATGTAAACCACAATAAATAATCCAACATTGCACATCATCTGGTTCGTCGCATATCCATTCGCCAATTGCCGTCAAAAACTCCCCTCTGGGAGGGTCAAGCCTCTCGCACACAACCTGCATCAACCTCCAGATCTTCATACTGAAAGTGCATCTTGCAAGGAGATGATCCACGGATTCCTCGTCTTCACAGCAAAGCTCACATCGGTTGGCCAGCACCCAGCCTCTCCTCTTAAGGTTGTCGATGGTTAGAATCCTCTTGTGCGCAGACAACCAAACGAAGGCACACACTTTGGAGGGGACAACGCGTCTCCAGACCGACTCAGATGGAAAGTTCTGAATTCCCGGAAATCACCTATCAGCAAGAACCCTGTACATGGAGTTCACAGAAAAAGAACAATCTGCCCGGGGAGCCCAGACCAATCTACCAGGCCCACTGCTCACCCTGTTAGTACCATAAGTGTTCAAGAAATTAACAAAATTAACCCTTTCGCAGAACTTCTTGCAGCACAGTTTGTCATTTCCCTCATGGTCTCCAAGTCCCTACCTCGCGTCATTATCGAAGGTGATTCAGAAGTAGTGATTCATCAACTTCGACAGGGTGTATCTTCAGACTCCCTCGGAGGACCTGTGCTTCGTGATTGTCTTCATCTTCTGTCGTCGATTTCTATCTCTTTAGAGTTTAGGGCAGTTCTTAGAACTACAAATGGGGCTGCCCATATAGTGGCGCAAAAAGCCCTGTTACTTTCTCCTCTTGAGTTAAGTTCCTTCGACTTTGTAGGGTGGCTTCACTGAGGTGGTGCTATGGGAGGGATCCTGGGTAGATTGTATTTAGTAAATACTTTGTTTAATACACGTATATGTACCCGTACGTATTTTATCCGTTTAAAACTTCTGTATCCGTATTATTGTCAAGCCGTTTCATTTTTCCGTTCATTTGATTGTTCCCGTACTAAACACGTATAAAACCCGTATACCACGTTCGTATTTAATGAATTAAATGGTTAACTTTATTATTATTTTTATATTTATTTCTGGGGTCAGACTTGTGTGCTCCTAAAACATACTATGCTCCATGTACTCATAGTGAGATATCTCTATCTAGACCATGAATTAAATCGAGTTTGGGGTATGATACTATACCTAAACTCAAATGGATAAACCCCAGGCCCCGATTTTATAATCTCAAACCCAAAGTTCAATTTAAGAGAAAAGAAGAGTTGACCGTTGAGATTGGCCGGAGCTAATCCATTTACTATGCTCCTAGAGCATACTAGTTGTCTCCATTTATTTATATTTAAAAATAATTATTTTTATATGTTTATGACTATTGACATACTATTAAACGTAACATTAGATTAAAGACGAAGTAAAATATCCGTACATATTTTATATGTAAGTACGTAACTTTTCCGTACCGTATTTTACTAACTATATAGATTCTTTCCTTCTATTGTCATTACTTGGAGAGAGAAAAAAATAGTTCATTGCAATGATGAGAAAACCGATCTGTATTATCGGCATGGAGTGGACTCTGAATAACTTGATATACAAGCTGCCTTCATATTGTTCAGGTTGGTTGATCAGATTACGAATCGATTGACTTTCTTGTTGGTCTAGTATAGATTCAATACTCTATTCCAATTGGGACATAGACCAATCGAGCTGCGGGTAAATTGGATCATTGGCTAACTGGGATCACATGTTGGCATCGTGGTGGGTCTCAATTACACATCAATGGACTCGAGCAGGTTTAAGTAGTTATATCATGTTCCAATAAAGCTATGAATGGATCGATTTAATCAATCTGGTTCCAGCCAGATGACTGATCATCAACATTTTGGCCAACACATGAACTTCTGGTCAACTCAAATTACAGGTGAATCGAGCCTGAAAGAATTGGACGAACTTCATTTCTGAAATATTATTTATGAACACCCACATCCTATAACAACATTATGCCATCGACATAGGCAACCCGCAAGGCTAACACACAAAAGCGTCATATGATCATAAGCTTGTTGCGGGAATCAATCAGATCATTTACTAGTTACTACATCTTCAGGCCTTTGGAGGAGGGGGTGAAACTATGATGAATGCCTTCGTCCGATTGACTACAGGTGGCGGTGGTGCTTTGGCCGGCAAACTCGTCCTTAAGCTCCGGAAGGCCACCGAGTTACTCCTGCCTGGGATCTCAGTATCTCCACCATTTCCAGACTTCTTACCACCATTTGCTTCTCTCCAGTTCTGAATTTGCAGTAGAGTCTCTTTATAACCTGCAGAGATTCAAAATTTTACACATAAGAATAAGACACACAGCTCACATCTTTCACCATACTAACCCAGAAATTAATATTCTGAGGCGTTTGCCGCAATTCGAAAAGAAAGTCAACTTAGGGAAAGCGAAACGAAATCTGGGAATTTATTAGCATGTATGATAATTACCATAAGGACGCAAGGCAGAGGATGAAGGAATATCAGCAGCAAGAAGATGCAGCACTAGCAGCAACGCGATTGCAGCCAACTTTCTTGTCATCATGGGAAAAAACAAGCACGCTGAAGGAATTCAAGGATACAAGCAGAGATAGAAACTAAAAGAACTTGCTGCAAATGGTGTATATATACAGTTTGTACATGTTTAAGTGCGATGATTAAGAGTCATTTTCCTCATAAAACAACGTTGTGCAAGGTACTTAGCATTAACTAAACTATCATTGTTCATCTAGTTGTCAATTAGGTCATGCAGGAAAAAAGAATTCACGAGTTGCTTGGGATTGGCCTTTGGAAGGTACCCCTCGAATAGAATGCCAATATAACACAACCCCTCCATTGCTAGATTTGCTTTATTGAATCAAAAGTCAACCAATTCATACGAGTATTCGATGACAGAAACCTACTTTCTATCTACTATTTGTTCCAATGTCAACTGTTCTTGTCAAGTTGGGGGGGAAAGAACATGTACTAGTTGCATAACTTGCATCCGCCACCCTTAAAAAATCTAAACCAACAGGCAACAGGTAGTTCCCAAGAATTCCAGCTGCTGCGCCTGCACCCTTACAGCATTTACAGCTAACAAGCAGCAAAACTTCAATTAATCATCAACCTAGTGCAATGTTGTTTCATTCAGGGGAAGACACCAACACAAGAAGTGCATTAAGTCGAGTACCGAAAGAAGTGCTCTGCCCTTCCTTCACGTACCCACAGGTTCTAAAATGGCGCCCACATGTCAACGTAATGCCTCAGAGCTTTATGAGGGATCGCAGTCTTCCACGCTTTGCGATCGGGCAACGGACCAGTGAGAGCCAGGGTGCTATCTTCAGAGGAGCGTTTCCCAAGCTTCAAAACATGAAGCTGATCGCCGAAAACCGTGCGCATTGCAGCCAAAGTCTGTTCCATCACAACCTTCCCATCCCGCCGTTTGTTCTCTGCCTCCACACAACTGCCCCCAACGTTCACCATCACTCTCCCGCATTTCGCCAAACGCCTTCTGACCATCTCCCACGTGTTAGGATCCTGAAGCTCCGGTATCAGACTGCCCTTGGAGAACAAGTCCACGAAAATCCCAGAGTACCCATCTTTCACCGCCGCCGTTAGAGCATTCCCGATGTAGATGAACAGCCGGTCTTTGTACTGGGATTCGAGCTTGTGGAGTCCGAAGAACTCTCTCCCAACGTCAATCACAGACGGGTCGAGCTCCCACCCGTGAACAATCACATCCGGGTACAACTCGAGAACCAATCGGGCAGTCGAGCCCGCACCGAACCCGAGAATTGCAACCGGCCCGGATGAGGGGAGAATCGGAGGCAGAGTGGCGAAAACGTCGAAGTAAGTGTCGGTGAGGGACTTGACGAGGAAGGAGATGCTGTGGATGTTGCCCGGGGCGTCGAGGAGGAGGAGGCGAGAGCCAGCGAGGGGGTGGTCGGTGGCTCTTCTGGAGACCTCGAGGACGCGGATGTAGTTGTGCCTGGACTTGAATCGAGCGATGATTTTAATGTCTTCCATGGGGATTCCGCCGTCGTCGTCATCGGACTCGATTTGGGTTTGGGTTCTGGGGTTGGTTTTGCGGCTTGAGAGTTGGGTTTTTTCGGATTTGGCGGTTATTTTCAGAGGTTTCCGTGGTAGGGAATAGCGATTGGAATTGAAGGGCTGTGGAGCATCGTGGCGGGAAAATCGAATTGGTGAAACCATTGCCGGCGGGGGGAAGAAGAGGGAGGCTCTGGTAACGGCCATGTTTTCCTTCCCGAGCTTCTGCGATTTAGTGCTGGCGCGCCCGTTCTCCTCCGCCACCATTCATTTTAAGATGGCCGACGACCCTAGACGGCGCTAGAGCAGAGAAACTGTGTGTCAAAACGGCATGCCGTTTCATACGCTCTGTGTCGTTTCCCTGTATCCTGGATCGAATTGACAGATATTGGAACTTGGAAGTGTGAATTATGTGTGAATTATCTGCATAACCAAATTGAAACTTTCTACAAGTTTTGGTACTAAATTTATCAACAGAAAAAGAACCGGCGCTTGTCGTTGGCTTTTTCTCACCGGAGCAATATTTAACTTTTAAGCAGCAGCAGTATTACTGATATAGTGATACATGGACCAGTACAAACCAGAAAGTCGGTTTACAAAAAGCAGAACTAGGAGAAACCACTCACACAAAAGCTGGCTTATTCTCTACAAATCTCAGCACTAGTTTTACATAAACCCAGCCCTTCCATATGACCTGCACTACCAGAAGCATAATGGGAGTCAATGAACCCTCTAGCTCTAGCTCCCTCGATAGGTAGAGAACGAGAATGGCGAAACGAGCAAAGGAACATGGAAGTGCTCCAACTTCTGTGACTCCCTGATTTCAAACACAATAGACACATAGGGGAAGAACCCAGATGGACTGTACTCCCCCGTGTTGAAACTTATTCTGTATATTCCAGGTTTGACCGCATCAACTATGCTCGTCAGTTGCCCAGACCTACCATCGGTGTTGGTCTTCGAGGATCCCTGATACACCCAGCCGCCTACATCTCCTCTCTCGCCAAATGATGGACGAGGTTGAGCACCTTGCCACATTTCCAATAGCACCTCAACTCCAGCAGCTGGAGACCCTCTTGAAACATCCAATATATGTGTTGTAATTGGTGGACGAGTTCGAGTTGGTACTTCTTGAGAAGGCTTTCCAGATGAAGCTTCGGGAGTCGGAGTAAAATGCCCTCCAATGATGCTCACACGGTCTTCTAGATCCCCAAGAAAGAACAATAAATAGTGAGCAGATGAAAACTGAAGCCATGTGAATTCTTAACTACACTTACAAAACTACCAAGAAGAACCCACTAGCAAGACGCAAATGCTAAAACCAGAAATAAGCCCCATAACATCAACAAAATCAACATCGTTATTGACCATTGTACCCATAAAACGATGGAATGTTTGATCACCTGTTGCAGCAGATCTTGTTCTGGTGGCGAAGAGCTTTGCAAGTCGTAGTTCTGTTACTTTCATTTGCTCTTGCGCTGCAATCTCAAACTCAACTATAGGCCGGTTTTCATAACGTTTCTACAAGTATAAATCAAGTAACAGCTCGCATCATGTCACAACTTGCACAAAGCCATCACTATAACTTAACTGCCGATAAATAAATAAGAAATTCAAGGAAACAGCATAGATGAATAGATAGCTATTTGTTTCAGTTACTAGTTGATGTTAACCAACTAGATACTACTAAGGTAGATTGTGGTTGCACCGACCCACAATGAATCGATAAGCCAAGCAGGCAAGGTGAAATTAGTGCAGCAGATTTAGTAAACATATGTAAATCCAGAATAAGTTTCACCTTCAGCTCCACAAGTATTTCACCAGAACTACGCCCAGATGCAAATATAAGAAAAATGAACCCAAATTTTTGCCTGTACCGAGCATTCCAATCAGCTAGTTCCTACAAAAGAATCCCATTTCCAGTTTCAAGAAACCCTAATTGGAAGAAAGGGGGAAACGAAGTTTGGACCAAAATGTTGCAGACCTGCAAGATGGAAGTAGATGCAGTGGATATCGCTGTTGATTGCTCTCCCTTACTCCATCTGAAACCCCGGCGCAAGGGAATCAGAAGACAATTCAAGGAAATGAAACAAAATCGAAGCTTAAAAGGAATAGGAACGGAACTCAGAAGCGGCATGAGAAGCGGCAGCGGGGGCGGAGGACTGGCCAATCTGAGGATGAGCGGCGAAAGCTTCGAGCCAACCATTAACATCTACCTTTTTATTCCTCAAAATCAACGGTTTGTACCCAATCAGAATGATTTTCCAGTGACGAATCAGCAGAGACAGGAAAATGAAAGAATTGAGAGAGGGAAAGGAAAAAGGATGGAAACCTTGTTGAACCAGATATCTCTGGCTGCAGAAACGGCCTGATCGAGCGATGAGAAGGGCGACGCGGACGCCATTTCCTTGGCGAATTTAGTGCTGCCGCAACATGCTAACCAATCCTTCTCCTCGAAATTCAATGTCGCCTCCATTTTGGCTGAGCTTAATCTCCTTTTGCTTCTCTGCAGGCTTCCTTTCTGTTTCTCCTCCTCCCGCCCGTTCCACTGGTCTTAGCTGAGATTTCCAGTCGCGAGCTCACTGAAGATGGTCGGACTTGACTCGTGTAGTCCTGCGGATGGCTGTATTACAAATTCGGTCACTCAATTTATATTGGCTTCTCACGTTTGTCACCCAAACACAGTTTATTTCTTATTAGTCACTCACTTTATATTTCATTTCATCATTGGTCATTGATCGAATGACCGTCCACTTGCATTAAATTTATCTTAGTTTGCAGTCAACTATAACCTATGTAGTTAGCCGATGACGTGATAATTAAAGAGAGGGATGACCAAGCGACCAGTAATGCTCAAGCCATTACATGGTTTCTTAGCTCTGTCGAACCAGGGATCGCGTTGAGTCTGAGTGGCTTCACTACAGCTCATGATATGTGGTAGCACTTGGCTGAAATGCATTCTCAAACAAACGCATCACATAAGTATAAAATGGATTCTGAGATGGCTCGACTTGAATGGGTAGACATTTGAGCCTACTATCAGTCTGTTGTTCATTTGTGGATGGAGCATGATCTACTACTCTAATCCTTGATTTTTGTCGTCGATTCAACTACTATTATCCAAGAACGTTCTAGTCCTCGATTGATGCAATTTCTGATGAAACTACTATCGGAATATGAGGGTATTCAAGCATCTCTTCTGCATCATAATATTACATTCATGGAAAATGTGTTGGTGAGCTCCTTCGTGAAGAGACAAGATTGTAGAGTCAAGCAAAGCTCGATATCCACTCGAGTGAGACGAGATTTGTCTTTCTTGCTCACTTCGCCAAACCACAATTTCATCGGACTCCTACTAGTGAAATTATTTTCTATTTTTGCAAGGAGCTTGGACATATCCATATTCACTATAAAGAGCCTAATGTTTCAAACTACTGCAAGAAAGAGGGTCATATGATTGGTCATTGCCCAATTTTTGCCCAGCCATATCGTGGATGACCAAGTGGTGTTGGGTATGGTTCTGAACAATCTTTAGGTCGAGCTTATGTCGCAGACTTGGTCCAAATTTCAGCAATCGCTTCCTTCCTGCAAGAACCTGCTCCTTTATCATAAGACGACATACGACATATGGTGTAAGAGGCGTTCAATGACACTCTTCCTTTTTTGTTAAGTTACTATTATTCACCTTCAATTTATTATTCAGCAAAACATATTAAGATAGAAGAACTATAACTATTGTAGCAAACTACAGTTAAAGTTAATCTAATTACACGTTGGGAACTCACTTAAGTATGATTCCCCTATCCACTAGCCAAATTAATGATTCTCTACCTTGTTTCTCTATTCATTAATAAGGTAGAAAATCCTTAACTAGACCTTGAATCTCGATTAAAGTAATCAAGCCCCTCTGTAATCGGTTGCCTAGAGGGACGTATCCTTCTCTAGAACAAGTGATCAAGGAGTTTAACACTAGGCTCCCTCTATCGAGTGAGGTTCTCAATCGATACAAAGCAAGGAATCGACTCACTCTCGCGTAATCAATTTCGCACTTCTAATCAATGGTGGTCTATTGACCTAATCGAGTATTCCCTCTCATAGGATCAAAGCAAAATCAATAATCTTGAGTAAAGCAGAATTGAATCATGAAAATATGCATAGATTGAATAGGAACTCAAGAATATCAAAATAGAGTACTCATACAATCATTAAAATAAGTAAAACATAGTTAGGGTTCCTCAAAATCTATGTGAAGGTAAGTTACCCATAGAGAAGAGAGAGAATGCATAAATATGATATAGATCTTCAATCTCTATCTCCAAGCTTGATTCCCGAGCTCCAATGGTGAAGAAATCTTTCAAAATAGCTCCAAGAATGATTCCAATTCTCTCTCTCTCCCTCTCTCTCCCTCCCTCCCTCTCTCTCTCTCTCTCTCTCTCTCTCTCTCTCTAATGGTTTGTCCTTTAGGTGTTTGGAATCCAAAATTCCGCCCTTCCTCTCTATAAATCGCAATAATGCATTTATACACATAGTATAGGCCAAGTTACGAACACATGTCACGAGCGTAACCTTTGGAGTTCAGGCCGTGACTTCTGGTATGATTTCTTCCTCTTGAGGTGCGGGTTCCGGCCAAAATGGGCTAAGTTACGGGATGGGCTGTAACTTGGAAGGTCGTTCGTAACTTGGGGGTATGCTTATGTTTCTCAGCTTTCAAGTTACCCACCATTCGTAACTTGGGGTCTCAACCTGTAACTGGGGTCTGCTGCTATTTTTGGGCTCATTTTGACCTCCAAATGCCCCCATAACTTGCTCCTAACATTCCTCCACGTACTAGGACCTTAAGTGTGACGAAATAAACACAACCTAGCGCGAAATAGGCCAAAGAATGATCAAAATCAAGCCAAACAATTGAGAAATGAGGGAATAAATATGGTGTTATCAATAGGGATGGCAATCAAATCCATGACTGCGGGTACCCGACCGCCCCCGACCTATTCAATGCGGGGAATCCCCGCATTGACTGGGTATGGGGCAGGTATGGGTAAATCCGCAAAAAATTTTGATGGGTATGGGCATGCTCGCCTCATACCCATAACCTCCCCACCAAGAGTATTTCTTCACATATAAATAATACCTGGATCAAATTGAAATCTATCAATGATAGTGAAGGTAACTTAAGACAATATATAGTAGAAATGCAATTGAGTGGCCACCCAAATCCAAATCTAATTCCTTTACGTCGATTCTCCTTTTATTCTTTCACTTTCCCTCTTGTTAACAAGATAATTATGTTAGTTAAGAATTACTTAGTAGATGTATTAGAGTTAAAAACTAATGATTTGGAAATTATTACAATGTATCTTATTGATTAATAGATGTTTTAGGATCATACGATTTGAACCGCACTAAAAATGATTGTATCTTTGTTTCTTAATGATATAGTAAGCCTGTTTAGATTTATAATTGAAAATTTACATGCAAAGTCTTGGGTATAATGATGTTGGATGTACGGGCCGTGAATTACCCATGGGTACCCGAAACCCATGAGTATGGGGATGGGTTTGCAAAACCTTCCCCCACATGGGTATGGGACGGGTGCGTGTTTGGATATTTGCAAGCGGGGATGAGGATGGTTTAGGCTAACTCACCATATTGCCATCCCAAATTATCACTCAGCGACATTTAATCATATGTCTAGCTCTCACTGCTTATTTTAGAATGTTCAGGCAGTTGAAACCATGGATTTACAGGTTGCAAATGGGTCTCTAATTCATGTCGAAGGAATTGGTACCATTGCTTATGGTCAAGTGAAACTGCCTAATGTGCTCATGTTCCTAAACTAGTACCCAAATTGGTTTCAGTAGGGCCTCTTGAGGAAGATGGATCTCGGGTTACTATTGATGCACATGGTTGCGTTGTGCAAGATATGACAATGGGGTAGAGATCGGGAGAGGGAGTAAATGTGATGGCATCTCCTCTATCTACAACTACTCTCGTGGAGGGAAGGATGTGGACGTGCATGATGGTGCACACACAATTGGAAATATATATGACAATTGACAACTGATTGTGGGGCTGCCACTACTTCTGGTTTTCTACATTAGATAGTTCCGGGAACAATAATTTGGTTATTCGGTAAAATTTTCATAATGAAATTTATGGCATCATCGGTTGGGTCACTCGAATTCTTCTCGTCTTTTAGCCATATTTAAGAAAAAGTGGTTGTCGGGTAAGGTTGTTTCGAATCCAGGAAGTGATTGTGTTCATTGTATTGAGGGAAAATTTTCTTAACATTCTTTTGTATCCAGTACTACATTATATTCAGAGCCATTCAGATTAATCCATACAAATCATTGGGGGCCATCTCTGGTCATGTCTCGTATGGGTTTTTGTTATTTCGCCCTTTTTATTGATCATGCCTCACCCTTTGAATAGGTTTACTTTCTTCGTCGGAAATCTGAACTCTATACAGTGTCTAAGGTGTTCCTTCAAATGATTTCTACTCAGGTCGAGCAAAATGTTAAGGTGGTCCAGTCATACCCTCGATGAATTTACTTCCAATCCTCTACAGATGCTCTTTAGTGATCGTGGTGTTCAACCTCCGCAATCATGTATGGGGCATCACGAAAAAATGAGTTGGTGGAATGAAAACATTGTCTTGCTTTGGAGCTAGGATGTGCCACCTTATTCCATTCTCATGTGCCATCTCGGTTTAGATTGAAGCGGTTCATATTGTGATATTTCTTGTTAATCGCCAAATTACTCTGGCTCTTCAACAACAAAGTCCACATAAAGTGCTTTGATATCATGTTAAACACAATGAAAACAAAACACAATGAGAAAGAATCAGCGAGATAAAAGCAGACGAATGGCAGGAAAGTAATAGTGTGGAAGAACATTTGAAAATTGAATGTTCCACGGAAATTGAATACTTTAACTTATAGTACTATGTTTGTTTGAACGGAATAAGTTGACTATACTAAGGAAAATCATGGCACCTTTGGCCCAAAAATCTGCAAGTCACTCTAGACAACATTGCCAGAAAATGAGTTTATTCGTGTACCTTTCCAGAACATTAAAGCATCACAACAAGTTAGAAAATCTCTTATCGTATCACGAATTTTCAGCCTGTTCCATATCCATGAGCAACAACTACTAGTAGATATTTCTGAGAATGTATCAACATTGATCGTATATTTATCCAATGTACCAACACCCTCCTTTTTATAAAAACGTTTGAAATGTGTCGTATAGTACTATACGATATCACAACCAATATTCAGACAAATTGAAAGTTATATTAGTTCACTCAAAATGAAAAAGAAAAAAACTGGTTAGATGGATTGTTTATTTATTTTTAGGAAAAATATCAGGAGGATGAGGACCATAGAGCTCTAAAAAATTTTTGAAAGAGTTTACCAAAACTGGTAGGGATGCACGTTAATCTAGAGACCATTCCCCCCGCATTCTTCGACCCTTCCCAAATTTGCTTATCTTAAAAAACAACAAAAACAACAACAAAAAAGCCAAAAGGGAAGAATAGAAAGCGAAGAATCACAGAGTCACATCATCCAGGCTATTCTTCCGGCCGGAACCCCACAACAGCATTAGGGAGAAACCAGCCGGAAAGAAAGCGCAAAGCCCACCTCCCCGCCGGTAACCAACAGGCGTCGTCAGAAGCTTTTTGCCTTCAATTCCCCCAATTTAATCCCCTACACCAATATCTGTTTTCTTTCTTCATTTTCAAAATTTAAATTTCACCAATAAATATATATCTTCTCCTAATTAAATGCCTCACGACTCATCAAAAAGATGTCGGATCCACCCAGTACCCCGTTGATGCAGCTTCTCGATCACGACAGCCACGACCGTCACTACCGAAGCTTCGCCGTTCCGATGGCATCTCTCCGCTCCTTCGACCAAAGCCGATCCAGCAACAACATCCGCCACCGCGGCGCTGGCGGAGGCTCCGATCTCCCCAAGCCCAATCGGCGATCTCTCGATTACAGGTCCGCCTCCATGCCGCAACGCCACATGAATAATATGAATGACGCCAATGATGACGACGATCTGGCAATGCCGACCGCCGCCGGCGTGCTCTCCGGGATACTACACAAGTGGGTGAATTACGGGAGGGGGTGGCGGCCAAGGTGGTTCGTCCTTCAGGATGGAGTTTTGTCGTATTATAAGATCCACGGCAAAGGCCAACATAATATCACTCTCAATCGCCAGGCTCTCAACAAGCTCTCTTCGGCGTCTTCCTTCAACGGCTGCAGCAAAGTCGTCGGCGAGGAGTCCATGCGGTGGATCTCCCGCCAGACCAGATCCATTTCTGAACCCCGCCGCTTTTGCCATCCCGTCGGCGAAGTCCATCTCAAGGTACAAATCATCCTTAGTTTCTCAACATGAATTATTATATACCATATTTAATTTGTTGACATTGAGGGGGACAGGTGTCGACAATCCGGAACAGCCGATCGGACGACAGGCGTTTTTCGGTGTACACGGGGACGTCGAAGAGGCTACAACTGAGGGCGGAGAGCCCGGAGGATAGGGAAATGTGGATGGAGGCGTTGCAGGCGGTGAAGGACCTGTTTCCAAGGACGACCATATCCGATGAGGCCGCGGGAGCGACGGTGCCGACGCCGCCAGTGTCTACGGACAGGTTGAGGCAGAGGTTGAAGGAGGAAGGGGTGAAAGAGGAGACGATAAAGGAGAGTGAGGCTATCATGAGAAATGAGTTCACGGCTCTTAACAATCACGTCCTCCACCTCAACCAGAAGCAGGTGCTACTTGTTGACACTTTGCGCCACTTAGAGGCAAGCAAAACGCCTAATTATATATATTACCACATATTCATTCATTATTCTTCATGTTATTACTGACATTATTAGATATTCATTACCAAAAAACATTATCAGATTACCAATAACAAACTTTAAATATTACTCATTCGAGCCCAATAATATATCTTAGCAACTTTAAATAACAAACTTATAAGTACATATCTTAGCATGTTAGTTCGTCCCATGTTAACAATTAAAAACAATTAATTCATGCATCATTAAGCAAAAAACAGAGTTCTTGTTATATACGATATTATTGTACTGATACATTCTCTGCATGTGTACTGTAGACAGAGAAAGTAGACTTGGAGAACACTGTGGTTGATGAAAGCAAAAATCAGTCGAAGAAACGCGGCATCAAAACTAACGGTAACCCGTAGCTTTAATTGGAAGAAAAAAATATGCTTAAAATATTATAATTGGGTACCTAAAGTTTTTATAATTACATTTTAGTACTTCAACCTTGCAAAGTTTTCACAATAGTTCAAAAGTTAGATGCAACTTGAATATATGAACTCATGAATTCATTTTTAGTTCATTTAATGAATCCAATCAATTTATCACCTCTAGGCTCTAACTACACCATTACATCATTATTATAGAATATAAATTATACATTGCTTCCTTATTTCTTGGCGGAAGTACTATGCTAATTAAAATAAAATATAATTAGTTAGGGGTTTGCGTTTCTCAGAATTAAACAGTACCGGAAGCGAGTCGGACGAGGAAGACGAGGAGCGCGACCGAAACGACGGCGGAGAGACGGAGGACGAAGAGGAGGAATTCTTCGACACTCGGGATTTCCTCTCGTCCACGGGCTCCTTCAGGAATCACGACGCCGACGATGCCGATGTACAAGATCGGTCGTCGGATGATTCTGAAGACGACGACGATGAGGGCCACATCGGCTGGAATCAAGATCCCGACGGCGGCGAAGGATCGGTTGGGGCCGCTGGGTCGATCAAGTATCCGCACGTGAGACGGCGGAAGAAGTTGCCGGAGCCGGCGGAGAAGGAAAAAGCGGTCAGCCTGTGGTCAATGATCAAGGACAACATCGGGAAAGATCTGGGCAAGATTTGCCTGCCCGTATATTTCAACGAGCCGATCTCTTCTCTCCAGAAGTGCTTCGAGGATCTCGAGTACTCCTACCTTTTGGATCGGGCTCATGAATGTGGTAAGACGGTAAGTTTGTAATTAATTGCGTTTTCTAGCGATTTGCCGATTTAATTAGTTCTTTATTAATAGCGTGATTAATTTTGAGTTGACGGTTTGACTTTGTTTTTGTAGGACGACAGCTTAATGAGGATACTGAACATAGCAGCATTTGCGGTATCAGGGTATGCTTCCACTGACGGGAGAGCTTGTAAGCCATTCAACCCGTTGCTAGGTGAGACGTACGAAGCAGATTTTCCAGACAAAGGCCTAAGATTTATCTCCGAAAAGGTATTATTTATATCTTAATTAGTCGAGTATTAGTTACCTTAATTAGTGTAGAGCAGGCAATCTGGTTGTGTTAGGTAATTTCCGTTTGCGTGATCCTGGTTCGGTTTTTCGGGTTTACCCGAAATCGACCCGATTATATACATTTTCGGTTTTTCGGGTTCGTTTCGGTTTTCGGGTTTTTCGGTATCGGGTTCGGTTTTGCTTATCGGTTTTTCGGGTTCCGGCTAAAAACCTCCAATGAATATAACTCAGCCCGTATTTTTAGACGTTCGGGTTTTCGAGTTTCGGTTTTGCTTTAACCGAACCCGAACCCGATAAGGATTTTTCGGTTTTCGGATAACCGGATTCAGGTCATTCAACCTTCGGATTATAAAAAAAGCTTAAACCCAATTTGTTTTTTGGGCATTCTGGTTGGATCATAATTTGTGAAATCTATATAACTAGTGAATTATTATGACTTAACCCATTATTATCAATGATTAGGTGAGTCATCATCCAATGGTGGTGGCATGTCACTGCGAGGGCCGCGGGTGGAAGATGTGGGGAGACAGCAACTTGAAGAGCAAATTCTGGGGGCGCTCGATTCAGATCGACCCCGTCGGCGTCTTGACGTTGGAGTTCGACGACGGAGAAGTTTACCGCTGGAGCAAGGTCACAACGTCCATTTACAACCTGATCCTTGGCAAGATCTACTGCGACCACCACGGCACGATGAAGATAGAAGGCAGCGGGAAGTACTCCTGCAAGCTCAAGTTCAAGGAGCAATCCATGATCGACCGAAACCCTCACCAGGTTCAAGGCATCGTGGAGGAGAAGAGCAGCGGGAAGACGGTGGCGACGCTGCTGGGGAAATGGAACGACAGCATGCACTACATCATCAAGTCGGATAACAACAAGAAGAAACCCGACCCGGAGCTGCTTTGGAAGCGGAGCAAGCCCGCCAAATACCCGACCCGATACAATCTGTCCCGCTTCGCCATCACCCTCAACGAGCTCACGCCGGGCCTCGAGGCACGTCCATGCATGCATGCATCCATGCAGCTTGAAATATATCATTGAAGAAATGAAAGCTAAGTATGTATTTAATTTTTCTTGCAGGAGAAGTTACCGCCGACCGATTCGAGGCTGAGACCAGACCAGAGATGCTTGGAGAAGGGGCAATATGATATGGCCGACGCCGAGAAGTTACGGTTAGAACAAAGGCAACGACAGGCAAGGAAGATGCAAGAGAGCGGTTGGAAGCCGATGTGGTTTGCGAAGGAGAAAGTAGAGAATGGGAATAGTAACAGCAGCGGCGGCGGCGGCGGGTACCGGTACAATGGTGGTTATTGGGAGGCTAGGGAGAATGCCAGCTGGGATTCATGTCCCACTATTTTTGGCTAAATTACATTTATACGTACCTAATTGCAAGCTAATTAACCATGTAACTAGTTTTGAAGGTTTTTTTTTTTTTTTTTTTTTGGAAGTGGCCGTCATTAGCCATTATGCATAGACATTACGGTCTTCTTCTTCTTCTTCTTCTGTTGTTTAGGGTTCTTTTCCTTCCCTTTCGTTTTTGTCCTGCTTCTCAATAGTGATTGCGGAGAAAACGGCGACAAGGGAAAAGGTAAACTATTTTTTTGTGTGTCTGAGAGTTGTAATTATATATTTGCATGCAGCAAATTAGTCCCTGCAGACTCATCCTCCACGTTATCTGCAATCCTCTTGATTGCTGAAAGAAAATGCTGTATAGGTTCAGGCACTAAAGAAATTAAAGTCCATTGTACATTCGATTCTTTTACTGTAAAGTCTTTGTTAACTTGAGAAACTCTAGTCATTCACCCTCTTCAAGAGAATTGGCAATCTGAGATCCCTCTACGGACACCTCTATTTATCAATCCAATAACAAACAGATAGGATTGTGTGGATTTAGGTTTAAAACTGATATACCCACTTATTAATGAATTGGTGTGATTTTCATCCGCATCCCTCCAAGATTTTATCCTGGTTGGGTCGTGGGTGGCGGGTGAGTAGTTTCGTCGGGTTAATCCACAAGAATCATTCTTTAACGAGTCTTTTCAATCAATATATGATTATCTTTTGTAAAAAAAAAAAATAGTCACTAGTCGAGTTGATTAATATTTACAATAGTTTATTTTATAAATTAATTAGGAAGATTATAGCAATTTAGCACTTCTTGTTTCTCGTGGATCTCAACAGTACTGTGGCTTGAAAACATTTTAGGCCCTATTCACTTTCATTTTCGTTTCCTATTTTCTGGTTTCATGTTATAAATTTGGCAACCGAAACGAGAAAACTTGTTTACTTTTCATTATGTTTTCTATTCGTTTCCAACTATGAAAACATAAAGTGGCAACTTCCTTCTATTTTCGGAAACGACAAAATGTTGTTTTCACCTGTTTTCAACATCTGTTTTCTCAAAAACAGGAAATAGAATTGAAAGTAAATAGGCCCTTAATTTACTATACCAATTTTCATTTGGTAACTTTAAACGAAGTATTTTTCGACAGGGAAAAGAAAGTAACTAACCACTTATCATTACACACCACGACTTCTCATGCATGGATTTCACTTCTTTGCCCAATGTTGTTATTATTTCATAATCCATCAACCAATTGTGTAAAAAAATTAATTAATATTCAACTTTTACATAATTATTTGTTGGTAATTAATTCATATCCCAATATCTAAAGCACATCAGGCAACATACTAATTAATAGAAGTACTCCAAAAATCTTTAATTTTCGAATTTAAAAGTCAATGCTTAATGTGTGGGACAGTTAGAAAATATGATAATTCTTATATAATATAAAAAAGAAATAAATATGTCATGTAAAAGTGAGGCGCAGGCTAGCCGAGTGACACACAGCTCGTCCACTATCTATATAAGTAAGTGATGATATGAGATTTATTGATCCAAAATTTATGCACATCAAATTGCCCATCGATAATAATTTCTTATTTATGGGTCAATATCAAATTGCAGACTGAAATAACGTAGTTGCCTACTCCTAAATAGGGTGTGCAACGGTTTTTATTCGTACTTGGATCATATCTAATTCTTACTCCTAAATTGCCTTTCATTATTGGACCGCAATTATTGTCAATTTGATTCCGTCCGAACCATTGCACCCCTCAAACCCAAAGGCCTAAGAACAAAAACAACAAGCGGTGGCCCAACGTGATCTTATTGGGCTTTAGCTTCAGTGGGCCATCTGAAGATATAGTTAATGGGTCATTAAGCAATCCCAGACTCAACGAATCCAAAGCCACAGAAAAAACTGTGAGAAAAACGCTAAATACCAAAATAGAAAAGGGAGGCGGAGTGGAAATGAATCAAGTTGCCGGCAAAATTTCGAGGATGAAATGTATGGGAACAGGAAGGACAACAGAGCAAAGGAGGAAGGGATAATGCCCAATTGAAGTTTCAAACCTCAGAAAGCCAACCAACAATGGCGACTCTGCTCACTCCTCCTCCTAAACTTCTCTTCTCTACCGACAGTCGAACCTGCTGCCCTCTGCAGCCCCTCGCATCTTCTTCTTCTTCATCTGCTCTCTCCTCTAACCTTTCGTTCTCACTCTCGCTTCCCTCTCTCCTCAACACCACCACCAGTAACAGGAAGAGGAGATGGCGAAGACTCTTCTGCCAGGGAAAAGGCGCGACGAACGGCACCGCCGTTCAAGTTGGCCAGCAGCGTCTTCTCAAAGTTCCGGTCCCGAACATCAGGAATTTCAGCATCATCGCGCATATCGACCACGGGAAGTCGACCTTAGCCGATAAATTGCTTGAGACCACTGGTACCGTTCAGAAGCGAGAAATGAAGGACCAATTCCTTGATAACATGGATTTGGAGAGAGAGCGGGGCATCACTATCAAGCTTCAGGTTCTTCTACCACTACTCTCTGATTGCTTTTCAGACTTCATTCAAGTAGCTATAGTGCGTTAGTGCGCCTTTGATTTCTTAGGCTTCGGCCAATTGCTGCTCTTCTTCTGGTTCCAGGCTGCTCGAATGCGTTACGTGTGTGATGGTGAACCCTACTGCCTCAATTTGATTGATACTCCTGGCCATGTAGACTTCTCCTACGAGGTATTGATTCCAATTGTAATCTCGCGATTTCGGAACTAGCTAGACTGTAAAAGAGCAAGCATGCGATGGTAGGTTTGATAGTGAACTGAGTTCCCTCCGGAGATGGCTGATTCTGTTTCGGTTTAGACCTCACTGAAAATCTGAATATGAAGCATGATTATGATCACAGATTCCGCTGAATATCTACTCCTAAGTACTTGAATTCGCTCCGTGTTTGAACAGGTGTCTCGTTCGCTTGCTGCTTGTGAAGGCGCTTTGCTTGTTGTTGATGCCTCTCAGGTGAACCTTTGTCTAACTTCACAACTTCTGTATCCAAATTATGCTTAGAGAGTTACTTACTGTGTTGTATAATCTATGCTTATGCTGATTGCTGATTCCCTGATTAATTAACGTTGAATGTATTTTTTTTTTTCTGATCAGGGAGTAGAAGCGCAAACATTGGCTAATGTTTATTTGGCCTTGGAAAACAATTTAGAAATTATTACTGTAAGTCATTAGCAATTCTTCCATCTTGTTTTGGTCCCTCACTGTTTGACTTGCGCTAATCTCACTCATATCGTTCCTTTTCTGTCAACAGGTTTTAAATAAAATTGATCTGCCTGGTGCTGAACCGGATCGTGTTCTCCAAGAGATTGAAGAGGTTGGTGCACAGAATGGAGGAATCCATATGTTTGATGGGTGTGTATCTATAATGAAGCTTAATTTGAGTATGCATGCCTTTATATGCTTTACTGCTTTATTGGTCAACTTTGTTTCAGTTTCATTTATCTTGCTGGAGTGCTCGTATCTAGGTCATTTGGTAAATTCTAGAAAAAAGTTTATAGTAGTCTTTCTGCCAGTTGATGGTATTGGGCTTCTTCTGCTGAACTTAACGGTATATTAAGATAGTTGTTTGATAAGTTGAATGTAATCCTTGATGGCCTGAGAATATGGGGTTATTTTGTTTATAATATAGGAAAACTGATGGAAGCTACTGATGTATTCCTGCAGGTTATTGGCTTAGATTGTAGCAATGCCATTCTGTGCTCTGCAAAGGTTTGCTTTTGGATTTTGCCATGGCTGTAACGTGTCAACCTTCTATGATATTACTAATTCTCAATGGTTGAACAGGAGGGTATCGGGATAACTGACATTCTGAATGCAGTTGTGAAAAGAATTCCCCCACCCACTGATACTTCTCAAAAGCCCTTGCGCGCTTTAATCTTTGACAGGTATGTGGTATCCTGGTTGCAGCACTTTCTTTTGCTACTGCGATGTACCCACGAAATGTACCCTGTACTTTTACGCCTTTATGACCCTGGCGTAATTTTTTGCAGTTACTATGACCCATATCGTGGTGTTATTGTGTACTTCCGTGTGATAGATGGGACCGTAAAGAAAGGTGACAGGATTTATTTTATGGCCAGCAAAAAGGTAATTCCCATCATAATATTTTTGCCTGTAGGTATGTACGCGGATGCTGAATTGTTTTTCCTCTTTTGCCAACAACAGGATTATTTTGTTGATGAAATTGGAGTTTTATCACCGAATCAGTTAGAAGTGGATGAATTATATGCGGGTGAGGTAATTCATGGTTCTAGTTCGTGATGCGTTGTAATGGATAGTCTATGTATCACTGATTCCTTTCTTTTTTTCCCTCATGGGTCCCTTTTGCAACCCGTTTCTGCTATTTCCGGCTGAATTTCCTATATACTTCTGAAAACTGGTTCTATTCTTTTTTGGAACTACACTTGAAAGAAATACATAGCTCTTCAGTTCATTGGCAGGATCCCTTGTACTTTAATTTGTTTTCTTGACTAGTTTTGGTCATTATGTTTGAACTTTCTACATACTTGGTATGTTTTCCATCCAGGTGGGTTACATCTCAGCTTCTATAAGATCGGTAGCAGATGCCAGGGTTGGTGATACTATTACGCACTTCAGTAGAAAGGCAGAGTCATCACTACCTGGATATGAAGAAGCTACCCCGATGGTCTTCTGTGGGCTGTTTCCGGTTGATGCTGACCAGTATGGAGATTCTCATTGATTTGTTAAATTAACAGATCACTACTTCTATCCATTAGTGTTTCTGATGAGCTCATGCTAATTTTTGTTGACAGGTTTCCTGAATTACGTGAGGCACTGGAAAAGCTGCAGCTAAATGATGCTGCACTCAAGGTATATGACCTGGGTAATCATTTCTGGATTATTGAGTTTCTGAGGGATCAAGTTAATAGTTATTTGTCTCTGGATGCTTTTGGAATTTGGCCTATATTCATACTTCACTGTTTCTGCCTGCTTATTTTGACTACTTGGGCCTTTGGCATGCCTTGCTCACAGTTTTTGGGCTGTAGGTTGGTCCTGTTTAGATACCGGGTAATAGTCTCGTTTCCGGTGGTTCCTGTCCGATTTCATGCTCTGAACTGCAATCACTTCTTCTGAACTCCGCTGTGAACTTTGATTTGGGAATATTACTGAATAAGAATTTCTTCTGTTTGAATCACGACCTTGCAGTTTGAGCCGGAAACATCAAGTGCCATGGGTTTTGGCTTTAGGTGTGGTTTCCTGGGGCTTCTTCACATGGAAATTGTTCAGGTTTGCTTTACTTTATGGTTCTAAGCAATCATGTGAGTTTCGGTATATGCGCACCATTAATTTGTCCTCTTGCAGGAAAGATTAGAGAGGGAATACAATCTCAGCTTAATAACTACTGCTCCAAGTGTGGTCTACAGAGTTAACTGCACAAGCGGCGAAACTGTAATTTCTCGCCTTCATTTGAAAAGATTACTTGTCTTTTGGAAATTATGGGTCTGCTTCTATGCTGCATCCCTTATGCATTGACATGAAAATTTACCTTGATTTTACTTGAACTAAATGCACAAGTATTTTTACGCTTATCCTTCATTTGGATCCACCGTCCGCCTGCATTAGATTTTGCATCATCTTGTGGAAGTTACTGTATGTTGGCCACCTTTAATGCTTGCATTACATAGTTTATTATTGCATAGGAGTAGTAATTCAGATCTCTACATTACCAGAAGGTCTGAAAATAATAATTCAGTTCTCTAAGCACTTTTTACATTAAAGTTTCATGCAATACGTATATCAATCATTACTTTAATTCTAGACCTAGTTTTTCACTTGCTGATGGAAGTTCTTGTTGTTTGTTAATAATGCACACTCACAAGTTCTACATAGTGCTAACCCAATGATTTCATCCAATTTTTCTAAGGTGGAGTGTTCAAACCCATCTGCGCTTCCTGAACCTGGCCTGCGGAGATCAATTGAGGAGCCTTTAGTGAAGGTGATCCTTTTGCAATTTTCATTCTCTTAAAATGATTTTCAAATCTAGTACACGTCTTGTCCAGGGCATGGAAAGCGTCACTTTACTCAAGCTTGAATTTCATACAGATTGAAATGCTTACACCCAAAGACTATATCGGCTCGCTTATGGAGCTTGCTCAAGATAGACGAGGAGAGTTTAAAGAAATGAAGTATATCGCTGAGAATAGGGCATCGCTCACTTACAAGTTGCCCTTGGCAGAGGTGGAGTTTGGTTTGTTGTTGCCAATTGGCTTCTAAAATCTACAGTCTTGTTGATTGCTAATTCTTTGACAAACTGTTCTTTTACAAGCGTCATTTTAAAAAAAATTATCTGTGTATTTGTGTGACAGATGGTGGGTGACTTTTTTGACCAGCTGAAGTCCAGAAGTAAAGGATATGCTAGCATGGAATACACTTTTGTCGGGTAAATTATGAGGAATTGTCTTCGAATAAGATTTACGGTGGCATAATCCAAGCTTGTTAATTTCCCCTGCATAGTTGACTTATCTTTCTAGGGATACATTTCTCTTTTGGAAATTCGCAATTTAATGCTACACTTGACCCATTTCTTTCTAGGAGTGTCAAGCTAGGACATCTCAGTTACTTTAATTTATTTTGTGACCTGATCTTCTATATTCGGTCCTTTTTGGAGTTATGAAACATAGATCCAGTGACAATGCTGAATTTTGATCAATACATAATGTAATCCTAGTTGAGGGTCGAGTCTTGTACCCGTATCTCTAGAACCAACCGGATTTGACTTCTCTTTTCAGCAAGGCAATCTTTCTTACTGCACTGCCAGTGCCTTGGCATTGATGACCGTTCTCAAGTCTCCTTAATTCAAGTACGATTGCTAATAGAACTGAGATATGTGGAACTAATTCTCCATTGGAATAGAGCAAATAGACCACCATATATGCTTAAACAACGGTCTCATTTTGTCAGTGTCTCCTCAAATTCTTTCTTCGATGCTTAGATTGAAAAGTTCCTCACTTTGATGTCATAATTTGACCACAATGTTACTATAGCTGTCATGCTGTGCTGCTACTGAATATTCCATTGGGAAAAAAAAGGCACTGCTGAAGTTGTTATGGGTTTGATGGGGACTTGTACCCGAGAAGGGAAATTTCTCATATTTGATGAAAACTGAAAATACCTCAATGGGCAAACTGACGTGACCACTGAAGTTGATTAGATGACTATTTTAGAGACTTGTGTACGCATTTAATCTATCATGTTTCTGGTACACATTAAAAGTGAGTGGGTTGTTTGGTACTTTGTTGCTGTAATAGTCTTAACTCTTGGATTGCTGAGGAAATGATAAGAGGCTTGATCTTTTGTTGTCGTATGGATCATTAGGTACGAAGAAAGTGATCTGATAAAGCTAGACATCCACATTAATGGTGAGCCTGTTGAGCCGTTGGCAACAATCGTGCACAAAGATAAGGTGAAAATTTTGAGGTCAAATTTGGTTATTGGATAGATATTTAAATCATTTAGGTCCACTTTAATGATGTTAACCAGCTGATGTGGCATTGTTGTTGTTTGTATGTATTGCTTCTGTTCATAGTTCTGTTGTAAGCTGATTTCCTAACTGGTTGCAACAGTTAGAAGAATATAAACCACGTAATAGTAGGATGAAGAGACAGGCCTGCTCATATTAGAGTTAGTTAAAAGCTTACAGATTATAGCTCGTGATATTTGCTGATTATCCCCTGCAGTTTTGAATGGTTTTTGAAACAACTTGTTTAACAGCAAACATCAACACTGCTTGCAGGCATATCCCATTGGAAGGGCTTTGACACAGAAGCTAAAAGAGCTAATACCCCGGCAAATGTTTAAAGTGCCCATTCAAGTAAGAGTTCCTGCCTCATCATTTACAGTACCAATGGTGGTTATAAATCATAATTGAGTACTAAGTTTCACAATTCTGTATGATGTTCTTCGAGCAAATTGCTCAACCAAACTCTGTTTTGGTCAAATTGTGTTTGCAGGCATGTATTGGTTCAAAAGTTATAGCAAGCGAAGCTTTATCAGCAATCAGGAAGGATGTGTTGGCTAAATGCTATGGTAAGTAACAAAGAGTGACTCTAAAGCGATTAATCCCGGTCAAGACGCTTATGATAGCTTCTACTCTAGGATAGATTGGTGCAAACAGTATTTACCATTTGTTCCCCCTTTTACGGTGCAGGAGGTGACATTACAAGGAAGAAGAAATTGCTGAAGAAACAGGTAAACTTTTTCCGGTGTTCTATGCATGCAGGGATGAGGTTTTCAAGGAACCCCTTGGTTTTTGAAGGACTATTCGTTCCGCCGCGTCAATTATTTATATATATTTTTGTGTATTCATGGGTTTGGTTGTTGTGCAGGCTGAAGGGAAGAAACGGATGAAGGCGATAGGAAAGGTGGATGTGCCTCAGGAAGCATTCATGGCTGTGTTGAAGCTTGAAAAGGAGGTGTTGTAAAAAAGGGAGGGAAAATTAACTGTCTGTAAGTAGCATTCTGAACAGTTGAACAAACGGCGGGAAATTGGTTCCCCTTTCTCTCGTCTCGTTTACTGTTCTCCGCATTTTGTTCCCGTTCATTTTGCTCTACACTTCTCAAGCCAAATGCAATCACAAGTATAAATAGGGGTATAAAGCATGGTCCATGAAATCGTACCGTACCAGCGGTTCAACTATGAAATACTAATATTGAAGGCTAAACTGGTAGGCGGTATTTAACTATAATAACGGTTGAACTATAGTTAAGCCATATTCTTGTTATAAAATATCGTATTGCTAATTTTTCCGGCTTTAGTGGAGGGTTGAGGGATTTGCCGATGATAGAGGTGGCGGTGAGGGATCATTGTCAACGTCATCCGAGAGAGGGAGAGGGTAGTTATGGTGGTTTGGGGGGGTTGGTTTTTTTTTTTTTTTTTTTATAGAGGTGGGTTGGTTAACTAGTTTGGATTGGATATTGAAGGTTTGAGCTAGCAAAATTGTAATGATGATAAATAGAAAATTGAAAGGATGCATAATTTAATGACTTTAATGGTGTATATAATGTTCCCTAACTAATAAAGTCTAGCACAAATTCTGATAAAAAAAATGATATATGATGTGGAAATTTCGATAAAAGTGAAACTTCAATGATATGGTGGACATTTTATCGATTTTACCCCAGTTTTTTTTGTGTTGTTACATTGTGTTAAGAAAGGATACACATACAATCCTAACATTTAAGTAAAAATTAGATCGACGTTCAACAATTCTCGTTCTTATATACACCAATTTGAAATCAACCCTTTGAATCAATACAGCACAAACCTGCTCTATCTCAAGACACATAACGCCACAAAATCCTGCACCATCAAATCCAAATGTGTCAAAAACACAATCTCCCACCTTAGGAGGATTCCTGAGTGGAGTTTGCACCCTAAACAATCTCATCCTCCTCATCAGGCAACACCAATGTCAACAGAGAATACTTGACCCTAAGCGATATCTTCCCCTTCTCCACATTCAGCTTCGCCCCTGAAACCACCCAGTACCCCGGCGTATCCTGCGGCCCCCTCGTCATCTCCGTCGTGTCCACGTACTTCAGCAGCTTCGGCGTCTGGCTAGCCACCGGCGGGCCGCCGGGATAGACCGCCGAGTTCAGCTGCACCTCGTTCGGCTTCGGAGCAGATGCTGCCGCCTTCTGAGCCGCGCTCGAGAATCTGGTGCTGATCAGCGTCGATATGATCCCTGATTTCTGCGACGTGGCGGAGGGAGAACCGTCCCACTCTGCCCTCCGCACGGCGGTGGCTCCGGCGACCCTGGAGAAGTGGAGCCTCAGGAAGAGGACGTTCTTCAGCCCTGACTCGCCGACCTCGAAATGTGCGCCCGTCACGACGGAGAGGTCGTCGTCGCTCTCTACTGGGGCTGTGCAGACGTGGGAGAAGCTCTTCCACTGCACCTTCTCGTAGTACCTGCGGTCGGACTCGGAGGAAGCGGCGGATAGTTTACCGTTGGCTTTGTCTTGTTCCAGTTGGAATGTTTTGGGGACTGAAGAGAGGTGCTGCAGGTGGATTGCTAAGCAGTTGCTTCGTTTGCCTTCCAAATATAATCGAACACCTGTGACTGGTTTTCTGTCCACGTATACCTTGAGGCGCAACAAGTTATTACCGCCATTGTTAAACCAGAAGGGAACACTGGAAACTGAGAGGAGAGTCTGATGATGTATTTACCGGCATTGTGTTGACGTATAGTCTAGGACCCATGAAGCTGAACTGCAATGACGAATTGCCTTGGTGCTTCCTGTCAGGACCAAGTGTGAGGTCACCAAATACTGGTGCCCAGTGTTTGGGGAGCTGGAATTCCAGGAATTGATGTAGCTCTACTACTGGTGGCTTGTCTGCATGAAAAGCAAAAAGCGAGGTCGAACAAACAGTCTCTCACTGTAACCAGATACATGCATTGCGAGAAAAATTCCCTATAAGGGGTTGCTTGGGACCTTGATTCCAGAAATATGTCCAAGATGATGGAATTCAGACATTTGAAAGACACTTGGGATTCTTGTAAAATTAAGAGGGCAAGTATGAGAACAGAGTGGGTGCTTACAGCGGAGGTAGAGATTAATGGCATGTGTCAAGAATCCACTTCCATCGATTCCACTCAATAGGGAGGTGATTGGAACAAAAGACATTGATATGACTTCAGGTTCTAACTGAACAGTGTGACACCAATCACTATGCGGCAGCCTTTTATCCAACCCACCTATTCTCTTGTGAATGAACTTCACATCCTGCAACCAGAATAAATAATAGGATCTTAGATACACATTTAGCTAAGCTTCTTGGGTACCTGAAACCTAATTGGAGAAAGGCTCGGCAAGGGATAGCTAAAAAAGAAAGGCAAGCTGAAAATCTAGTCAAAGCAACTCCAGGCAACAGCTTCATTCCAAGAGGGATGTACCTCATCATTGGAATAAGAGTTGGCAACAAATTGGTCCATAAAAGCCAGGCCGTGCTCCTTCACAAACTGGAAGAAGAAGAAAACAGTTAGAGATCGTGAATGAATCTGTTGTCGTCGCCTAATATATGACACATGTATGTTTCAAACCATTCTGTCTTGGTTTAGGCCTCCAATCTGGCCAGCTCCGTCTTTGAAGATTTCGTCTGCTAGGTCCTTCAACCTCTTCTTTACGTCAACAGGTTGGAGAGGAGATGTGTGCTGCTGCTTCACGTAGACCACATCCTTCCCTCCCATTTTCACGCCAACAATAACATGGGTACCATATTTCTCTATGAATCTGGAAAACAAAAGTCAAACAACATAACAGGTTCAATAAAAAAGTTCTGCATCCGGGAAGAACTCATAAAAAGCACACGGATAAGATATATTTCAGGAAACAAACAATACAATAGCTACTAAATGCAAATTCAGTTGGAGAATAAGTGGAGAGGCCCAAGGGAGAGGAAGGCAAGCTGCCATATCAAACTCTAGAAGTAGAAGGGTCATGTGTCTTGCAGCGTTTCTTCTTGGAACACCCTTATGTTGTTCTCTTCAGATTCTCTACAAGAACAGCAATATCAATACACTCTGCTAAATTTTTCAGTCCCTGCAATATGGCTAGTCCTCTTAAATTGCCTCATCCGTGACACCCAAATTCTTCACTTGTGTCATAGGTAATATCCTAGCATTTTGACACAAGTTTATCTGAAGTTTTTTCAGGGATTCAGATAGATATTCCAGAGGGAGCTTCCGTTCATCCAGTTAGTTGCATCCTCAAATTTCCCAAAGCTCTATCAGTAATCCAAGACATCAGATGCTTTACCACTCCTTTTTTATCTCCTGAACAAACTTATACACAGCGTAAGTCTGAGCCTTCCATGCTAAACCTAGTTTGAAATCAACAACTAGAATGCATCAAATTTCCCAAAGCTCTATCAGTAATCCAAGACATCAGATGCTTTACCACTCCTTTTTATCTCCTGAACAAACTTATACACAGAGTAATAGTCTGAGCCTTCCATGCTAAACCTAGTTTGAAATCAACAACTAGAATGCATCACATAACAACGATAGGGTCAGTGGATACAATCGCAGTCTTAGGTGGGTCTACCATTCCCGACCCAAGATTTCCAATTGAGAAATCTGTGTGAAGTACAATTTCAACCCTACCATCTTTGTGATCGAATCTAGTCCCTTGCACTTTCAGTCAAGGATAGAGATCTTATAGTAGCTCATGTTAGCAAGAAAGTTGGGAGGGAACCATGCTCTTCCCCAGACCGATGCATAATGTCAAGCAGAACAAGCTAGCCAGCACCTTTAATATATTTCTTTCTTCCTCCTCAACAAGGGTCTCTGGTGAAGTCTTGCTAGCTGTTCCTACAATGCCCTTGAGGACAGTTTTGCCACCTTGATCAGCAAAGTTTGAACCCCAATCCATTGAACGTGTTACTTTTTCCTCAAATCCCCAAAAACTGCTCTTCCTCGAAGGAAGCCGAGAGCCATTTTGATTTGTTTTTTCTTTTTTTTCCTTTCCACAACATTACAGTGTAAGGTTATGCAGCCTTGATCATGAAGCGTTTGATGAGGGAAGACAAGAATAGAAAGCAACAGAAAATTAGGTGGCAGAGATAGGACTGACCTTGCTAGTGCAGCGGGGTCCCATGACGAGGGAACAGCTTGCTTGATATGCTCTGAGAGAACGACCTGCGATTTCTGAAGAGCAATGCTGTAGAGCGTGATGAAGACTCCATCAAAAGCCATGGATTTAGTGGAGGAAGCATCCTTTTGCCAGACTCCAGTGAATTCAAAGGCCGTATTGAAAGAGCCCGTCGGGATTTTCCCAGAGAGCGATAACTCCTGGTTAAACTGCTCAGACATCTACAGCGGAGTAGGTGAGCGAGTTAGTCAACGATTCAGAGTTACCAGCCAAAAATCGATCGAACTGACGCCGAATCGGCCACCAATCACCATGGATAACGAGAAGCAACCGAAATTCAGAGTTTGTACAAGAGAGATAGAGAGAGGGGAAAACCTGCTGGAAAGAGAGGAGATCCGAGCTGAACCTCGTGCGCTCGCCTTTATCGCATTTGATCGATTTAGGGACGCCGGGAACGGAGAAACCAGCTGGAACTGGAACGGAGAGACTATGCAAGGAATTCCGCTCGTCGACGGCGACGAGCGAATGAGGCTTGCAGTACTTGAGCCGCAAATCGACGGTAAGGTCAAACCCTCGGCCTATGGCCTGAACCGCGGCCTCCGCGGCTCTCTCAGCTGCAGCCGCCATCAGCTACCTACTTACTATCGATACCTCTGGTTTTTTCCCTCCTTCCAGTACCTCTCGCTATGCCGATGATCAGAGATCGAATCGGAAACGAAGTAGAAGCAAGATTTTGCAGGAGAATAGTGACGACGAACGAGATCAATCAGAAAGTCTTTAAGTCGGAGGCTCAGTGGAATAAATATAATAATAAGAATGCTTGGCGTTGTTGGGAAGTTGATGCTGAAATTGTTGATGGGCGCGCGGTTGGCAGTTAGTTGATTGGGGGGGAGATGGCTGTGGCAATGGCGCGGTGCCCGCTTCTGCTCTGCTGCTTCCTGTCTTCTTCCTACTCCGCAATTCTACGGACAATTATGCTTCGACGCCGTAATTATTGTATGATAATTAATTCAGTTGCAGGTGATTAATTAGTAGTAATTACTTACTGTGTGAATGATATTTATTTGGGAAAGAGGGAGGGAAACCGGAGGAGTCGGTAACACGATTATGGTCAAAATATGGGAATCCCGATTATGGTACGATGCTAACACGAAGCGTTCAACACGTGTTGATGTCGTTGGATCGTGTTGTACGTTATAATGAGTCGTTAGATCACACTGTGATAATTAAACGGGATCAATACGAGTTGGTTGTCTCAACTTTGCCGTAGTCAAATTGATTCAGCCCACCTAGTTGTTGTGTTTAGCCAATTTGTATTTGTATGAGGACGGGAAACAAATCAAATTTAGAATCTTCCTTTGGAAAGTGAAAACATTGTTTAAGCTCTGCTTTAGGGAAATCAATAGCAATTAGCACATGTGCATTGTTTATCAAAATTAATGTTACATGTTGGTTTTTAAATTTGATTTGTTTAACAAAATTGACCAGTTAAACCATAAAAGAGGAAAACTGACCAGTAGTACAGTTTTGCCGGGGGCGGTGGGGTGGGTAGTTTTGGTTAAGGTAGTTTGGCGGGAAAGTCAGAGAAAGTGTGCGGTGCGGTCCCGTTAACGGCATGGGTGGGCTCATGGGCTGCCAGGCCAGGCCAGTAAAGGCGCGCATTCGCGGCACACGCCTGCTGACCAACGATCATTCTAGCAGCCGCGTGGTTGACTTTGTTTAGGGGGTTAGTGATGGAAATGGGGTCGGGCGGGTACCTCAATTTTCATGTCCCGTCCCTCATTATTACGGGTTGGGGCGGGTCGGGTAAAACCCGTGTGGGTACGGGGCGGGGCGGGTCGACCCACTCTTACATGCTATTGAAAAAAATATAAGTAAATTTTATTTTTTACAATAAAACGTAGGGAAAAACACTTTAAGAATGAAAAATATCTATATCTATATCTATCTATCTATCTATATTATATATTATGGCAATTCAAAAACAATATATTGCCACATAAGCACTTGGAGAATCCACAATTTGCCAAGTTGGACAATTTTTTAACAAACAAAAAAATTAGTTGTTAATGTATTTATGGAGCTACCTCTCTCTTCTTTAATATTTCCATTTCTTTTATCCATTTATTCTTTTTTCTGTAATAATAAGTTACATGTTGATAAACTTAACCAAACACACATTAATAATAATTTTTTTTCCAGTAAAAAAAATATGAAAAAAGAAAACAAAAGTAACATATACCACATTTGTTTAAATAAAAAATATCTGATTAAACCTTATGAAGTAAAATTTTTACTCATTTTTACTAAAATTTAATGATAAGTTACATTTTGATGAAAAAATTATACAAACATACACATAAACAATAATGTTTTTTCGATTAAACAAAATTTATATGAAAGAGAGAAAATAAAAATTTAACATTCAATTACCTGTGAAAAATAAAATATATTACTTTATATTTTGTTGCAATGAAACACTCTCTTATTTGTAAATTATATGTCTATAAAATAATAAAATTATTATTTAGCAAAATGTCAGATCATGTTATAGTTATTTATTATAATATATTACTTGATCAAGTAGTTATAGTTATTTATTTAAAAATGACTTATTATACCTCAGATCATGTTCTACCTTAAACTTCTCAAATGAAGAGAAATCGCATGTGCAATAATTTTATAATGTGTCCTAAGATCACATTAATAATATTTGTTCTATATCATGTTGATTGAGCAAGCTCTATTGAGGTCCTAAGTCGTACGTTAAGAAATTTTCTTTCATACTTGGAGTTATCGTCAACGATCATAAATCAAAATTTTCAAAATGACTTAAGTATGATTGTTGACGAACTTTGACTTCATACCCTAGGATGAGACACAAGATTTCTGGAAAAATAACATAAAGGAAGGTTAGAGAATCTTTGTCGAGAATCTACGATAAACATCGCGTTTCATCATCTACTAACCTAGACATTTACCAATTAAAGGTTGACAATTTTTAGTAAGATAGTCAATTGGGATAAACATATTTATCCAGAAATCAAGTATCTTTATCCAATAATCTCAACTCTCAAAATTGGTTGTCAGTTCGTCCAAACTCGAGAAATACGAATTGATATATGTTGTATAGATAATAAGTTAATGCAAATAATCAAATGAACTCCACCGATATTGTTCAAATGATAAGACATTTTAAATGCACTTGAAATATGTGTGTACTGTAGACACTATTTATCAAATATTTATATATAAGTGATAAAATCTTTGAAAATTACACATTCAACGACCATGTTAAGACCAAAATCCTCGATAGTGTGTGCGAGTGTCTTAGATTGAGATTCTAAGCCAACATATAAACAATGACCACGGGTTGAAGTTTCATCTAAACTTCAAAATTAACAATTGATACATATTGTATAATATATACTAAATTTAAGTGTCTTAATAAAAAAACTAACATCCAAAATGGAAACGAGTCGAGATTATAGAATTTAATTATCACGAGGGCTACGGTGTGTGTCTAGTTTCAATATGGATTAATAAATTGATCCGATAATGATGTATCTTTACTAAAAATTTCTCACTAAAAAGTCCTAATCTTTACAACATTGGTCGAGAGTTTGTCAAAAGTTGAGGATCATGAATGTGTATTGGATTTCCAAAGGACCTAAAATCGCAATCCCTTTTGGGGGCTAAATACCTTTGATCACAACCATAGGTGTCAAATAAGAATGAAAAGAAGCCCAAAAAAATCAAAAAGAACATAACCTCCGAGGTCGAGTACCGAAAAGCTGCCACCCAGAATTTGACGAAAGCGATATGATGAACAGAATAAAACCATATCGAGTTATGATCCTGTCATCCCTACCCTTTTATTCTCCATAAAGGGGGCGGCGGGAGAGGATAAGAAATAAATAGCAGGATCTTAGGATTTGCCTCTTTATATATTGCATATCAAACTATAGACAACCCTAATGGTTGTTTGACGTTATGGGGGTAAAAGCGGGATCTCAATCCCGAGGGTGGGGGATAGGCAAGTAGCACTTTTAATATGAGTATTAGGTGAGATAAGATATGTCTGGCGAAGTATCTGGATAAATTTGAGTCTACTATACACACACATATATACATATATATAATATCAAGGTATACTATCTTTTGATTTTACTCAATATACGATAGAAGATAGGTATGACAAAGTATTTGCATAAATTAGAGGTTAGAGAATCACGGATTGGAGTTCACCTATTAAAGGTTAGGGTATAGTATCATGCCAAAAAAACTCCGGAGTTTATATATTAAAACTCAATGGTTGTATGGTAGTGTGAACGCAAGAGTATAGCGTACTCCTGCCGCACGTTAGCTTGAACTATATATATACATGTGTGTGGTTCAGGTTGGCATAGGCTAAATATTAGTGTTTTGGTTGACAAATGTTGACATAAGTTCTAAATGGGAGTGATAGCAGCATAATTTATGATTAGAAAACCAAAGCATCAGAAGTGAGTGCTAAATATTGGAAATTTCCAATATAGACATACTACAAACTCTTTTATGAATCAAGAACACAAAATATTTAGAAGATCCAAAATGATTTAAACATATAAATAAGTTAATTAATATAAATTATGAAATAAATCTCTCCGGCCAACGGGCCGGGTAAAAAGCTAATTGATAATAGAATGGATAATTGAGCCTAACAAGTTGAAAGATCGACTCTAACTAGTTGAAAAAAAGTCAAAATAAGAGAAATATGTATAGATATTGTAAGAAATTGAGATAAAACGAGTCTAGAACGGGGCGGGGCGTGGCTGGTCGGAAGTAGATACCTATGTCCCGCCCCACGCTACTGCGGGTCGGGTAATACCCGCGGGGCGGGTTGAAATTGCCATCACTAAGGGGTTATGCAACGAACCAATTCTCGACTGGATCAGACCGGTTTGAATTAAAAATCGTATTCTATTCCCTAATAAGTAATAACCATTTTTTTTGTGGCTGACTGGCTGGTCCACTGATCAAATCTCATGGGTTTACGAATCAAATGTGATCTGGACTTCGTCAAAAAGTCAAACACACAAAAAAGAAATACTACTATTTCTGAATACCTTTTAGCTTACTTGGTCCGCTAATTAAACGTTCCAGCTTATCCAATGTAATTGAAGGATACAAACTGTCTTCTCCATGGCTTTCAAACCGCCTGTGGGCACGTAGAATCGAGTTCAATTGGTATTGAATAAAAATCGGATGAAGAGCACCTATATAAAGTGGTAGTCGAACCAGTGAAAAAGATTGAAATTGATATAAGAGTGATACGATCACAATGGTTAATTTTTCAGTTTCTAAATAAAAATACAAAATGACGTTGTTTCGGTGGAATTAGCTAACAATAAGAAAGAAAAATTTCGGATTCAAATATGAGCATTTTGTTGTTGATGTTATCTATTGTGTTCAAGTATAAACATTTGGATGTTGACGTTAAATGTGGTATTTAAATATGATGATTTGTCATTTTGTTTGTAATGTAGTATTTTATTTTGATATGATGAAGATTATAGATAGGTAGATCGTCTTAACATAGATTATATAAATACAATTCATATGATGTTAATAGTTTTTCACTTCCTCTGTATTTCATTTAAACTAACATAAACGAAATAAAATTCGATTATAATCTGATCGAACTATTAAATAGACATAACGGTATTAACCGGTTTGACCTTTTGTTCCGCAATGCTAAATCTTTTATTACGCTCGTTTGATAAAATATGTAACCATATAACGTCACCTAGAATAGTTCATACATAGAAAATATCTTTACTGTGAGACTTCTAAACATTAGAACGGTTCACACTTACTGAGAGACTTCTAAACGTGAGAACGGTTCACAACATTTTTAGCTCCTTCACTTTAGGCTCGTTAATAAATACATCACTGAATTTTATTTTATTTTTTCCTAACAACAAACCCCTTAACAAATTGGAAATTATCAAATTGCCAACACCTGTGGCCCATTTCTGTTAGTCACTTGTCACTCCATGTCAGTTTCCTTTCCTATTTCTTCTGGTTCAGCCCGAGCGTTAACAGAAACAAACAGCCCAGTCCAACTTCGGCTCAAACGTAGCAGAACACAGAGCTCTTGCTTCCTCTGCTTCTTCGCCTTCTTCCTTTCCTACGTTTCTAACTTCTTTCTATTCCTGCTCCACCAGCTGCACATAATATGAAAGCATTTGGAGTGCACAAACTAAGGAACCATCTCTGCTAATGATACTCGTCGGAACCATCTTCTCCGTGAACACCGTTATTTGCTTCTACAACATCGTCACCAACAACAATCTTGTTCCTCATCGGCTTCGACACTTTACTACCATTTGTCTTCAATGCCTTCACTGGTTTCTTCACCTTCTCCGCTTGCAACTCTAACCCTTTCTCCGAAGGCTTCCTTCTTCTTTTCAACCGGACGCTATCCTCTATAGAACGAAAACAAACCCAGTAGTCAATATAATTTACATTGCATCTCTACTTTCCCAACGACCAAACAAGTGAACAGAATCAAACTATAATTGGTTCAGTCATATTCCATCTAAATGTCAAATGCGTACGATTTCAGTCCAGTGTGAATAGAATCATTGCACACCCCCAATGAACAGGATATTGCCCAGGAACCTGAAGGACGATAATAGTAACTTACCTTCATGAGGACTTGATGCATTGTTTGCTGCTAGCCCCTCCATCGCAGCATCTTCGGAAACTGGAGATTCGGAATGAGTGCTCTCCATCAGCTTTGAAGAACTTCCCCCACCCTTACCTTGTTGCTCGTCAGGACAAGGGATTGCTGGCAGGAAGCACAGTTCTTCCTGTGACATGTCTGAATCACTAAAACCATCTTCTTTCTCTACAGTCACAATATCAACCTCTTCATCTTCATTAACACCAGATTCCTTCACCTGCAAACAACAATTCCACCCTCAATTAGAACCATGGATGGAATCATGTCACCAAATGAAGGCCTTCCCTCAACCAATCTAAACAGTTTTTCCTCAACCTTTTCAGTTTCTGGCATCAGATCAAATTCATCTTCACGTTCCACATACTCTTCATTCTCCTCCAGCTCTTTGAAATCCGGAGCAAATGCACTCCAGTTCTCAGTATAGTCCTTAGCCCAAATGTAAACAAATCCAGCTAATGAGACAGAAACAACAATTGGATGAATGGGATGCCATGCCAAATCGATCAAGGCTTCTTTTGGACCTTCAAGTATCTTAATGAGATATCCAGCTTTATCCCAGATGTAGATTTTGTGCTCTCCTTTGCTTGCAGAACCAGCAATTACCCATTCTCCATCACCACTGAAACAAGGTGCTTTCCAGTGCATCTTTGTGATTGTATCTTGAAACTCCCGAACAAGTACCAGGCACTTTGATCCAACCACCTTTAGTTTCTCCAGGACATCATGGTTTTCAGTTGTTTTAACAAGTTCCTGAAGGGTAATACTTCCATCCCTTTGTGGAAGTAGATTTTCATACATCCTGATTATCCGATCATTTGAGTTTGTAAGGAGATACAGCCCATTTCTGCTGAAGGCAATATTCTTGATTACAGCAGCAGTGGAGATGGGAACCACTGCTTGGATTTCAACACTTCTATTATGATCTATTATAAGAATTTCTCCTTTGGAATTACCGACATAGACCAGATCACCACGCTTGTTAAAGCACGCTGCAGTGGGGGTAAAATGGGGAGTTGCATCTGAGGATTTATTGCGTGGAGGGGCTGCGACTTCATTGACTGTTTCAGGTACTGTAACTGGAAGAACAGTTGTGGTTCCTGTTTCTAAGTCGACAACCATGGGAGCAGAAGAGAGTGGACATACCAAACACGTTGATGGGGTAGAAGAACCGGGATGTAGCCGAGCCAATAGTGATGTTTGCTCCAGTATTGTTCGTGTGATTTTCTTGCCAGAGACAACATCCCAAAGTGTCAATGATTTGTCAGCAGCAGAGACCAGGATCCGATGACCATATTTTGACCAGCAGACACTTGTTATAGGTGCAACAGAGTCTTTATCCCGAAGCTCCTTGGCAATTCCCCTTGTCTCAAAATCCCAAATCACACAGCTTCCATCAACACATCCAGCTGTTGAAGCAAAAAAAGGAAGAATGAGCAGAAACCAACGAACAATATAAAATAAAAAAACTTAGTTAAACTAGTATAGCAGATGAAGAAAGGATAATAGAGTTCAGTCCAAACTGCTAAAGGTTTTCATATAACCTATCCATTAAATTGGCAGAGGCTGCAAAAATCAGCTGCAATTACGGAAGTAAGTTCCTTTGTTTGATTCACCAACAATAAGTTACTGCATTTTAGGGAAGCTCTAATGTCGATAAAAGAGATAACCCAGTTCTTTCATATCCCTTGAATCAACAACATCTAAGAATCCTAACTAGTGAAAAGTCTAGACATACTAGCTAAGTGCAATCTCCCGCAGCCTTAAATATTCTGATTTTTCAGGTAAAGATGCTACGAAATATAATGATACTGCCTATGAACCTTCACTAGATCTCCTAAGCAGCAGGGTCGGGAGTCTAAAGGCACTTCTAAAAATGCGAGCAGGGACGTGACTATGAGATTCCCACTTTGAACACCAATACTACCAGTGCTGACTACTAAGATAGTCACAAGGGAGTACTTCTATGCTCAGATGGCACATGAATGAAGGAAATAGCTTGAGAAGAGGACCAAGCCACGGTTTCTCTTCTATGTTAAAAATGTCTAATTAATAGCAATCCCATCAACTTCAATGGCGGAAAAGGCAGTAGGTGGGAGAAGAAATGAACCTACCCACTGATACAGGAGTACCAGAAGGGGGAAGGCATAGAATCAACCTACCGGCGAGAAGAGTTCCACGGCGATTGAAGGCAATGCATTTCATAACCCCATGCTCCAAATACTCCTCTATTACTTCGGGGAAATCTCCTTGCAGCGGATCTTTCGCCAAAAACGCAATAACACGCTGATTAGGCACACACAAGCAAATTTGGAATAGAGAAAACTAGGGCTACCAAGCAAAGTGAGCAGAGAGTAGGCTCACCAATAATCTGAGCGTTCATGGCGGTCAGTTGTGGATTTAAAGAGCAAACTCAGTGGATGCAAAGAGAAGTAGGGAATCAAGCCGGCGGGAGCTTCAATGGCGAGTTCGGGTAAACTCTGTTCAGAAATTCCGCCTCCGGAGTCGATTGAAACCGGCAGATAGTGGTCACTTTTCTGTCGTCCGCAATTTAACCTAACTAGGATGGATGAAGTTTTAGGAGTATCGGAAAGAAAGGAGGAAAGAGAAAAGAGCAATGCGGTGTGTTGCTTCTGTGAATTATGCCCTAGGTGGAACAGTCGAGCTTAAGACCGCAACGCGCCTGCGCCGGAGTATCGGCGGCGAGCATATGGGAGCGGAAGTTGTCGGAGAAAGGAGACAGAGTCAGCGGCTGGCTCGATGGCGGAGAGTCGGGGTCGATGCAATAGTGGCTAGTTTGGTCTCTTGTAGATTTTGTAAAAACAGATTCCGAACAAGGCAAAATAACAAATTAACACCAAGTGTTTGGATGAAAAATTACAAAAAAAATATTCTTTTCAATATAAATAGTAAGCCAATGAAAACAAGTAATATAAAATATAAATTAAAAAGAGTTCAAAATGAGATAGAGGTTAGGATGTTCATAGTTTTTTTTATTACTCAAGAACTTTTACTAAATTTGGGGTCATCTACAATCAAATTCGACGCTAACGGGGGCGTCACCTCCAGCAGCCTTGTACCTCCGGGAACACCAACGGGCCTCACTTGTATTTGAACCTGGAATCTGCAACTCCCAAGCGTTCACTGTCGCGACAGCTTTAGCGTTAGACTATCTTACCTTTGATAGGATGTGCATACCTTACTTGTTAGCCGAGTGTAACTCAAGATCTAGTCATACTAATTTCGTTTTGATAGTTATTTTATAAATTCAAGGGGTTGACCACAATTAGCCACCTTAGGTCAATGTTGATAATTTACACCATATTGGGCTGAACTTGTAGTCATAAAAGAAAATTATATGGTTGTGGATTGAATACAAGATTTTCTATTATTGTAAATAACTTTATTAAAGAACAATGTTGTGTGATTTCTAGATCATATATCACGTAACCGAGTTTAATATAAACAAGATCTCAAAAATTATAAACGTTTGTTGGTATCAGTTGCCATTCAAGTGTCAAAAGAACACTTACTGCAAATCCGCAATGACCAAAGTGAAGAAACACTTCAGAATCAAATGAGTGATAAAATTATGAATGATTTTTCAGTGGGTGTCTTAACATCTCTCATAATTTAATGACGAATGTATTTTAGAAATGCTTCAGAATATGAAAGCACGTTCTGAAACTTACGTTATGCTTGTAGCGGTAGAGTCATTTGGGACAACAACTCAGGCTATACAACTTTTGAATTAACAGAGTCATTTTGTATCGCTTTCCACACAGAAAAGCTTCGTCGTTGGCCATTCTACGTCTTCCGACGTCGCTCCCGTCGTCCAGCTCCCTCTTATACGTGTTGATTTGTTAGACAAGGTGTTTTCCGGCGAGGAAAAACTAGTGCTTGAACACAATGAATGCACCTTGGCTTCTCGAACAACGATTAATAACATGGTTCACTCCTCTCCGAAAAATGTTCGAACGAGGGTGTTTGATGTTTTTTTATGGTTTTTGGGAACAATCTAAGTTACTCTACTCCTATGGAGGTTCAATAAATTTTGACATTGTGTGTCAAATGTTTGGTTGTGGAACCCTTGCTTCTTCTTCGTTTCTTCTATTTATAGCCACTAGGAGTAACTGCCTTGGTAACCGCCTTGGTAACTGCTAGCCGGCTTGTTGCTCCAACCGCCTTAGGGACCCCTTTTCTTGCCTTGGTTGCAAATTGGTAACCGTTGTCTTGGTCTTCACCTCCATTGCCTTGGAGTTCCTAGACCCGTCTTGTTGACTGGTTGGTATCATCGCCTTGGAGGCCCTTGTCCCGTCTTGGGGTTGGTGGGTACTTGATGGCCTCGATGCCGGGTCGGGTTGGTGTTGAGCCTTGTCGCCCTGTCATAACTGGATGGGGTTGAGGCTCTTGCCTTAGTCTCCATGAACCATGATGAGGTCTTGATCTCACCCCCGACTTCATGATGACTCCCCACTCATGTCGTCTTGAGACCGCTACCACCTCAATGACACCAAACCCTCCTCATGAACTTGTTGGTTGTTACCAAGCCGTCTCATCAGTTGGGTGGCCACCTTGTTGGCTTGATACCCTGATGTCTGGCTATCAAGTCCGTCTTGTTGGCTTGATATCTAGACTTAGTTTCTGTATGACTCTCTTAGTTGGTACTTGGCTTGGCCCTCTGTTGCCTGGCCACCAAGTCAGTCTTGCCGGCTTGATACCCACTTGGGGTCATGGTACCCTGTCACCTTGCTTAGCTGCCAAGCCTGTCATGCCGGCTTGGTACCTTGTAGGGGTCTTGGTACCGAGGTCGCCTTGCTCGCCTGGTACCCCCTTAGCTCCATACTTAGCCAATTTTTATATCTTTTGGTATCAAGCCTACCTTGTTGGCTTGATACCCCTTTTGCTTCATACTTAGCCAAATTATATGTCAAAGTATCAAGCCCTGCTTTGCCGGCTTGATACCCCGTCGTTGACATCCGGTCATTTGGCACCCTGTTGTGTCATAGCTTTTGGATGGCCTCCTATTTGGTACCCGGCTTGGTACCCGATCGTTTGGCACCCCGTTGTGTCGCCTTGTTTCCCATACTTAACCTTTGGATGGCCTCCTATTTGGTATTCGGCTTGGTACCCACCCGCGTCTTGATACCCTCTTGTTTGGCCCCCTTATTTGGTACCAGGCTTGGTACCCGGTCGTTTGGCACCTTGTTGTCGCCTTGTTTCCAAGACTTAGTTTTTGTAGGCCAAATTTCATACTAAGGGGTGGAGGCATCGTCCGGCAATGGGGGCCTCGGAGACGGGTCGCCATCGTATAGAGGAGAAGGGGGTTGGCCAGTTAGGCCCAAAAATCTAACCCAACTAGGCCCAGCTTGGCTCTTTTAATCATTAATGTTGAGCTGGCCTTATAAATCCATTAATCCCCTTGTAATTAATCGATGTGGTACAAGCTGATTTTTTTATGGGTAAACACAAGGTAAGTTTCTGACCCTATTTTGTGTTGGTAGTAGTATTGCATGTGTAGGGTTTTCGTTGCCTGTTTAGGATTTTTCGTTGCATGTGTTTAGTATTTTTTCATTTATAACTAAACATTGAAAATTAATAAACTTAACGTCATTAGCGACGTCCTAATTGGAACGTACAAATTTCATATCAATTGTATCCTTTAGGATTAGGGCTGCAAATGAGCCAAGCTACTCGCGAGCAACTCGAGGCTCGAATCGGGAAAAACTCGTTCGAAACTCGATTCGTTTACTGACGAGCCAAGCTTGAGCCTAGCTATGTTCAGCTCGTGAAGCTCGCGAGCTAGCTCGACTCAATGGCTTGTTGAGCTCAACTCGTGAGTTGGCTCATTTAGAGCTCATGAGATGTCTCAACATTGTGGTTTGAGGGCCAACTTGATAACTGACTTATGGACTAATCAATCTAATTTGGACTTTCATAATTCATAGGATTGTTAAATTATATATCTCACATAATGTGAAGTTTAACATGTTGAACATGTAAGAAAATATGCCTTATTTTTAATTATACAAAGAAATTATGTACAAAATTGTTTCGATACTATGAAATAACATGATTTGAACTAGTTAAAATTTATTAACTAAACAATATGACACCTAAATATTATAATATAAGATTAATTAATGTTGAACATTTGATTATTTTTTTATCGCTACATCAATCACATGTACCATACTCGACATACAAAATGAATATATTAAATGCGATCTAAGAATTTAGTAAACAAGCCTAGCTCGAACTCGACTCGACTAGGCTCGTTAATAAATGGCTCGAGCTCGAGCTCAACTCATTTGTTAACGAGTCAAGTTCAAACTGGGGTAAAACTCGGCTCAGGTCGGCTCATTTGCAGCCCTATTTAGGATTAGCAATAAAATTTGTCGATGTTATCAATGGTCATGCACAACTCAACAACAACCAGTTAAGGATTAATTATGAATTGTGCAGTTCTTTTTAATTTTATTTGATTATGTTTGTAACTTTGTCAAATGTCATTATTAATGTCATTATTAAGAAGCATGTCCGTTAGGTCTTCGTTTGTAACATTTTTTTTTAATTTATTTTATTCTTAATTTTGTTCGACAGGTTCTTTTAATAATAATTGTTTGCATTATTAATTTTTTATGTTTAATTTTATTTGTAACATTAACAATAGTGTATTTGTATTTTTAACATTGTTAATACTTGAAGTACATAAGAACAAGAACAAGGCCACTCCTTTTCCACAACGATTATGACCCCTTTGATAATATATTTAACAAAGTAGAAAGTCATGTTATTTTTGTTTAAGATAGGGTGTATAACATTTGGTCATTTACATTTGTATACGGATTGTTTGGATGGAGGAATTTGTTGTATGATATTTGTAGGGTGAAATAACTCACAATTTGCAAATATGGTATTTGTGTGTGATTTGATAAATTTGAGAGTTAAAATGTCTTGTTTTTCATGAATAATTTTGTGAGTTATTAGTATGTGGTATTTGGTAACTTAAAATGAATAAAATACCATAATGCCCTGAAATAAAGCCTCTCCTCCCATCTATCTAGCCTATCCACTCTAGCACCACATCTGCATCAAAACAGGGGAGATGGATCAGCAATAGAATGAGCAATTAACTAGGAAAAAATCCAGCATTGTATAGATTTCATTCATCATTAACCACATTCAGTCATCATTACACATCCATTACAATTTAAACTACTATAAAGACAATACTAAAATGACAAGCAGAGAAATTTCATCCTTCAAGTTCTACTGTCGCATGGGATGTGACTACTCTCTTCATTGTTGCATATGTTTTCTGAAGTAGATCATTTGACCGGCCGCACCAAAAAGGAGAGAAGTCAGAGTCTTTGTGGGCTTAATTATATTCTCCGTCTTCTTTCGGGAAGTAATGACAATGAGTCGGGTTGGGGCGGATAGTGCATATCCGTTATCGTATTTAATGTAGTTTGGGTTTTACCTGTACGGTTGTACCCATACCCACATAAGAAACGGGTAGAAAATCAAAACCATGTCCATATCCGTTCTGGTTTCGGGTATCCACGGTTATTCATGGGTAATAATTTATCTTCATAACTCCAACCAATATGTTAACATTCACACATATTCTCACATTACGTAAGAAAAAAAGTACGATAATAATTCACTAGAATGATGAAAATTAATTTAAACAACACAATTTCATGAAAATATTATATTTTTATGCTATTATAAACTATGTTAGAGATAAATAATGATTATTTCTAGATAAAATACATATGCATGTGTATAATCGGGCGAGTTCGGGTTGGATAGTGAGAAACTCATGCCCACCCATTACCCACAATATTCGGGTTCGGATTTTACCCAGACCTACTAAAAGTTCTTTGAGTTCGGATTTTAGCCTACCCGATTAGGTCGGATTCGGGTGGATATCCACGGTTACGGATATTTTTGTCATCAAAGAACTCGAAAAAAAAAATTAGAAAATGGAAAAAAATCTTTTCGAATTTTAAGAATTTTTAAAAAACGCGGATTTTTTTTTTTTACTTTTTCGTACGAAAGAAAAAACTGGTTCGTTAAAAACTTTTTATACACATCACTCTGCTTTTCTTCTCTATTCCATAATTGAAGAATGCAAAATCAACCAGATGCATGCAACATATAGGGAAAGCTGAGAGAAGCGTGCAGGATGAGGGCAACGATGATGATGTGTGTAAATAGTCTTATGACAATATTAACTAAGACTGACGTGGACTAGGGCAAAGGAGAGTAACGCAAGACACCGAATTAACGTGGTTTCCCCAACGATGATGATCGTTGAGACTATTCCACGAAGAAGCTGTCGTCTCTTATTCACAATTCCAGAATGATGTATCCTTCCCAAAGCCCTTACACCCAAATATATATATATATATATATCGGCTACCCCCCTTTGCCCTAGTCCACGTCAGTCTTAGTTAATATTGTCATAAGACTATTTACAAAAAGGTACCCAAAGCTTTAGCTTCTAACACCCTCCCTCAAATTGATGTTGCTGGCGCAACATCAATTTGTGAGCAAGAAACCAATGGCGAGCCGAAGCTACAGCCTTGGTTAGTAAGTCTGCCGTATGATCTTCCGAAGTGATATAGGTAAGCTCAATAGTCCCATCAGTCACCAGTTGCCGGATATAGTGAACGTGGACCTCAATATGTTTAGTACGGTCATGGAGTACAGGATTAGTCGCAATCCGAATCGCACTCGTGTTGTCAGCATAGAGGCGAATGGGAAGGCGACAAATCACACCAAAGTCAGCAAATAAGCGCCGAAGCCAGACCAGCTCGGATGTTACCTCACTCATGGACCGATACTCCGCTTCAGTGGAGGACTTCGCCACTCTCTCCTGCTTCTTGCAGCGCCAGGAAACAAAAGAAGAACCGAACTTCACACACCACCCCGACGTGGAGCGTCGAGTATCTAAACAACCAGCATAATCAGCATCTGCATAGGCCTCCAAGACAGAGTCACCACCAACAGGAAAGAACAACCCCACATACGACGCACCACGGAGATATCTCAAAATACGTTGGACAGCAAGCCAGTGGTGGGAATGAGGAGCAGACATATATTGGCTGACTACCTGAACCGCATAGGCAATATCATGACGGGTGTGAGTCAGGTATATCAGACTTCCCACAATACTGCGGTATAGCTTTCCATCCGGAAGGAGCTCGCCAGAGGAGCGTGTCAGCTTCAAGTTTTGTTCCATAGGGGTGGCACAGGGAACACATGCATCCATTTGAGCTTCTTCCAAGAGATCAATGATATATTTGTGTTGGCAAACATGAATACCTGTAGCTGAGCGAGCAAACTCCAAGCCCAAGAAGTAGGATAGGTTACCCAGTTCCTTAAGATTGAATGCTTCACGAAGAGAGGTAGTAAGTGATGAAATGCCCTCCCGATCATTCCCACTAATAATCATGTCGTCAACATAGATAAGAAGGATAGTAATACCTCTGGCTGTACGACGTAAAAAAAAAGAGAAGGGTCATTGGCACTCTGAAGAAACCCAGCTCGCAGAACAGTGGCCTGAAACTTCTCGAACCATGCACGGGGTGCCTGTTTCAGACCATACAGAGACCGGCGGAGACGACAGAGCATAGATTTATCACCCTTAGAATAGCCCGGAGGACACTCCATATAAATTGTTTCTTTCAACTCTCCATGAAGAAACGCGTTCTTAACATCTAACTGCACCAAAGGCCAATCTTGCATCGCAGCCACAGCAATAAGACTCCTCACAGTTTGCATTTTAGCAACAGGAGCAAAGGTTTCATCATAGTCAATGCCAAACTGCTATTTGAAACCTTGAGCAATGACTCGAGCCTTTTCACGCTCAATTGAACCATCCGGATGACACTTCAGGGCATCAACCCACTTGCTACCAATGACAGTGAACTCAGGTCGGCGAGGGACCAAGTCCCAGGTATGTTGAGCTTCCAATGCCGCTGTCTCAGTGTCCATGGCGACCTCCCATTGTTTAAGCCCTTTAGCTTGCTTGTACGAGGCAGGTACAAAGTGAGGCGAAGCCGCTGAGTAAGCAACAAAGTCATTGTGGCGGGACGGAGGCTGGCCCCTAGTAGTGCGATCAGACCGGCGCAGTGGTGGAACCACTTCGGCAGCTACCTCGGAGCTGGAATCTGAAGATGTAGAATAGGAAGAGGTCGAGGAACCCATGCGTGACGAGGGAGAAGACTGACTCGAGGATGAAGTAGACGAGCTAGCCGAGGGTGGGGAAGGAGGTGTATCATCACCATCATATTGGAGTGGAGTAGCTGTTACCGCTGGGAAGTAAGGCAAAGGAGCCAAGAAATCCCACTGAGATTTGTCGACGGGACTATCTGAAGCATAGTACAGAGAATGTTCAAAGAACACAACGTGGCACGAGATACGAAGACGACGAGCAGCAACATCATAACAAGCATAGCCCTTGTGTTTGTCACTATACCCAACAAACACACACTTGGCCGCCTTGGGAGCCAGCTTATGACGCTCCCTACGAGGCAGAAGTACATAGCAAACACATCCAAAAACCCGAAGCCATTTGTAATCCGGAAGGCGAGAAAAGAGAACCTGATATGGACTACGCTGATCAAGAACAGTAGTAATCTGACGATTGATGAGATAAACGACCGTGTGAACCGCCTCAACCCAGAAACTTGGAGGTACACGAGAATGAAAGAGTAATGCCCGTGTGAGTTCAAGAACATGGCGATTTTTGCGTTCAACCACTCCATTCTGCTGGGAGACCCCAGGGCATGACTGCTGGGGAAGGATACCCTGAGAGCGAAACATGTCATGGAGTGGATGAGACACAAACTCCCCTCCAGGATCAGAACGAAGGATCTTCACGACTCTACCAAACTGTGTAGAAACCATCTGGAGAAATTCAC